CCAGACAATTCTCATATTCGCCTTTGCTTGCATTTTCGCAAACGCACACACACATATACATACAGGCAGCGGCACGTACACACGAGCATAGAGAACTTAATGGGAGATAGCAGTAAAAAGCAGGGCCAGGCCCAGACGAGCGACGATCGTGCAAAACGAAGTTTTCAGTTGGGGCTTGATTTTCTACTGGTATCGATACCGCATACATACATATGTACATGCAAGTTGTATACACACACACACACGCGCGCAGAGTTACGTGTGTATCAGCTCCTCTGTTCGTTTTACGTTAGCTTCACTGGCGTAGCGTGAACATTTTACGTTTAGGTTCGCTCCATGCCACCACACAGAGCTCCAGCCAACCAGCGGACCGTAGTGAGCAAAAAATCCAGTTTTGTTTAAAAATAAACAAAGCGCAACAACTGGGCACGCTACAGTCCTCAGCGTACAGCATATGTACATATCTGTATATTGGTGTTGGGGGCTGCCAAACAGTTCATCTAGGACTCGCTAGACCCAAGCTAAAAGTAGCTGCGAAAAAAGCTAAAGTCTAGCCGCTGATTACGTATTTGTTTAGTTTAGTTAGTCGCAAGCGAAGGCAGCGCATGTGCGATTCGTTACGGCCCGAAGCTGAAACAGAGTTAACAACCGTAAAGCGTAGAGGAGACAAACGGCGAAACAGCCGTCAAGCGGGCAGCGGAAGCTTTACATCCGGATAATAGTCGCTTGTGCAGCAGCGCGTCGGCCGGTGAGTTCTTCTTCTTGTTTCGAGCAAAGCCTGTCTGCCTGAGCCCTGCCTACGCTCTCCAGCTCACTTGCTTGCTCTCGCTCTGTCTCTCTCTCTCTCTCGCTCTCTATCTCTGTTGATTGTTCGCTTTTCGTTGCGCCTTCGCCGCAGCCAAAAGGCACGTAAACTGGTTGCGTCGTCGTCGTCGTCGTCGTCGCTGTCTTCGCCGTTGTTGCCCGTACGCCGTTGTCGTCGTCGTGGTCGGCGTGGCGTGCCCGTAGTTTTTTCTTTTTTTTGTTGTCTGTTTTTCTGTGCTGCGCTCTTTTAGTCTTGGTGTAGCGCTTGAGCTGCGCGAGTCGGACCTTCAGACGGATCAAGCGACAACCTCAGCCGTCATCATAGTCATCATCATCATCATCATCATCATCATGAGCATGGAGCTGGCTTACAATGCGTCATCGGCGTCAACCTCGCCGTCCGTCTCCTTTGGCTTCACCAACACCGCCAAGCTGCCCATCGAAACGGTGAAGCGTCTCATTGCGGCCGTTTCACGTCGTCCAGTGCTCTGGTTGCGAAACAATGCGAGCGGCCAGAAGCGCAGCGATATTACGCCCATTTGGTTCGATGTCGGCAAGGATGTTAATTTGCCAGGTGAGTGCCAGCAGCAGCAGCAGCTGCAGCTTTCTGATTGTAAGGCGTATAAGCCACATGCATGTAAAAGTATGTGCATATAGCATGTGTTTTGCTTGTGTGTGTGCATGTGCACAGTGCGCATTCAATAAGACGATACCAAACACGCAATAGTAAGCTTAAAGCTTAGCTCGCCTAGCTGTTAATTAAATATAGGCCTTAAAAGCCCAATTAGCATGTGCACAGTGCGCATTCAATAAGACGAAATAATAAGACACAAAAATAAGCTTAAAGCTCACGCTAAACACGTGAAGCTTCGCTCGCCGAGCTTTTTATTAAACATAAGCCTTAAAAGGCCATTTAGCATATCTAACTGCGTAGTGTATATTCAATGGCTGAAATCCATTAATAAGCACAGCTGATCTAGAAGCTTTAAGCTTAACTTAAAAGCACAAAGCTTGATTTGCATAGCTTTTGTGCTTAGTTTTCCGGCACATAGATTTTTTAATCCTTAATAGCTAAAGTCTATTTGATTTGAATGGATTAAATCTGTATAATATAATCCTGGTAAGCTTTAAGCTCAAAATAATCATGAAAAGCTGAACGGGGAAAGCTTTGAAATCTTATTTCTAAATATATAGGCATAGAGAAAATGGAGCTTAGAAAAAATATAATTTTTCGCACATATTAATTCGAACTAAAATTTCTTTATTCGCGAACGCTTACTGTATTAAATATTCAATCTGTCAGTTCGCCTTAGCGTGTACACACTGTATGTGCATTACGATGCATTGCGGTTTTCTTGTGGGGCCACAAACACAGCTCGACACGCCATTTCGATCAGACATCTGTGCACTCGCACCTAATACAAAGCAATTGATCATCTTCTTCTTCTTGTTCTTTCTCGCTGGCCGCAGCTGACGTCTGCCGTGTGAAGTGGGGACACCTGCGCGACAATTTCCGCAAGGTCTACATACGAAACAATCTGTCGAACGAGTCGCCCTCCTCGTGGCGCTTCTACAACGATATGCGCTTCATGGAGCATGCGGTGCATGAGAATATCTTGAGGCAGGCGCGCACGCGCGGCAACAGCAAGAAGCATCCGCCGGGACATTGGACGGAGAACAATAATCTGATACTGGACGATAGCAGCGGTAAATATGATGAGCCCATTGTGGCCACCGAGCCGATCTGTGAGCTGAGCGACAGCTACGATTCGGAGCTGCATCAGCCCAGTTTCTCGGACATCAGCTCGTTCTTCGAGGACAGGGACTGCAAGCGGGTGAAGCTGGAGCTGAGCAACGGCGATGCGCACAGCCAGCGGGATGAGGAGCTGAACGATGATGATTTCGACGAGGATGCCGCGTCCGAGAACGAAGAGGAGCACCATAAACACGGCACGCCCGATCCCAGCGTCTTTACCATCGAAGTGCTCGACGATGATGAGGAAATGGCTCAGCCCATGTCCAAAGCCAAATCGAGCCGGTCCAATGGCGGCAGCATCAAAAGCGAGGCGGATGTTAAGCCACAATCGCAGCCGGGCGCAAACGATTTGCCCTTCAAGTACATCAGCATGGATGCGTCCACCAATACGGAGCCAAATGGCGCCGATGCGCAGGACGATGCGGATCGCATGTTTCTGCTCAGCCTGATGCCATTCCTGCAGCGCTTGGATGAGCGTCGCAAGCTGCGCGTCCGCCAGAAACTGCAAAACGTTCTGATCGAGGAACTGGAGTTTGGCTGATGATCAGCTCCCTAATATATGCCTAGTTATACGATATACATATAGTACATTATAAGCTTAGCTTACAGTATTAAAATACATAAGTATGCGACTGAAAACACACACATACAAACACACACATTACATAGAATGTAATCAGTTATTCACCTAGAATGAATAAAATACAGTAAAAACTCTACTAACGAACAGCTGCATTCAGTGTGCAATGATTTTTAACTACACTTAATGCCAAAAGCTCCTTTGATCGCTTGCCAACACTGTCTTTTAATCCGTTGAAAAGGCCGTTCTTTAGGTTAAGATTTAAAATAAAACGGCTCCTAAAACAATCGACCGTTTTCAACACTTGTTAAGCAGAGCATAAATTAATTTACGTATGTGAACACTATTTACATATGTATATGTATGTATGAGTGTATGCATATGTAAAAAAGCGACATATCTTTCAAGCAGCTCCATCAGAAAACAACTCGAGCTGTAGATAAATTATAGAGCTTTTACTGTACATAAATGTGTAGCTGTTGAACACGAAAAACGACGCATAGTGTAATTAGTTTTGTAAAGGACGCCTGGCATCGTTTACCTGTACTATGGGCTGCGCACCTGCGCTCTACCTGAGCCTGTCTGAAATTCCATGAACCCGCCCGGTCGTAGATGCTGCTGATGCGCGCTGGGCCAAACAGCCGAAATGGTTTCAATTGAATTTTGAAGCCAGCGATCACGAAATTTTTGTCAGTGCAAGGCAAGAGATGAAAACAAGTTCCTTAAGGGTGTTGTTTCTGGCGACAACAACAATAACAACAACAAACCAAGCTGGCGGGCAGCGGGCAACAACAACGACAACAAATGCGCGCCACCACCGGCCATATTTTCGCGCCACCGCCACATGCGCCGTTAATGTGCTCGCTCTCTCACGCTCTTTTCCATTGGCTCTCTTTGTGTGTCAGCACAATAAAATAGATGCTAAGGCGACATATGAATGCTCTATAAATGTACATGCTATAGGGTTTTGCGTTGTTTCCAACAGATAATTAACTTCAGTAAGTTTGTATGCTAAACTCATTAGATGATAACATAAACTGTCTTTGGCTAAAAACTTATAACAGATGCTGAGCTGTTAGTTTACAGAGTCGCTGACAAAACGCACGAGCAAGCGTCATATGGTCGAGCTGAAGGAAGTGTGCAATAACAAAAAAATAACAAGCCAAAGGGGCAGCAGAAGCGTTGTCGGCGCATGAACGTGCATCCAGTTTCATGTTTAAATGCGTGCGTGAAGGTTGAATATTTCGAGAGTGCAAAAAGGAGCCCTGGTCAGCCCCAGCGTAGCAAAACCACGAGAAGTGGGTCAAAATTATTCGAAAAACACTAAGCAAAACAACGCACTAGTCATGAATGGTTAAAAGCATAGCACACACGCACACAAATACGCGCGTCTAAAATCTAAAACACGCACAGCTTACAACACTGTTGAAAAGTATGTTTATAATTTAGAAATAAAAAGTGCATGTTATTGATGGCAAGCAGGGCGCATTTCGATTGCATTTCTTTGCCGCATAAGTGAAAATAAATAGAAGATAAAACAAGCGCACACACTCACGCGCACACCCATGCACATACATACATATAATTGTAAAATGTGCGCGTGCATGTGAACAATACATACAACGCATAAGTATACCCATGCGATAGGGAGAGAGCGAGCGCAATTCAGTGAGTGAGTGAATGAGTGCGAGTGAGCGCCAGTGAGACAGACGACAGCAGCGCACGGCAAATATCCAAAGAGCGAGCCCAACATTGGAGCGCGCGCGCACGCAAACATCAAAATCAAAAACTGACTGTGAGATACATTTGGGTTTATTTTATTTTTTGTTTAGCTACATAGATGATGAGCAAGCGCAGCAATAACAACAACAACAACAGAACAGAACAGAACAGAAGAAGCAACACTCATACAAACACACACACACACACACAGTTACACAGATACATTCGTGTATACATGAGCGAGGAGGCATGATTATTATGTTGTGTTTTTAGTCGAATGTATCTTTTAGTCGGGCAAAGGAATACACGAATGTCGGAGTCGAAACGGGCCACAAACGTATTACGCATGAGATCTCTTGGTCTTTGGTGGTACTACATACTATAAAAGAATCTCGCATTTTCCGAAACGCACGATAAAAACCTAAATAAAATAAACTTCAAACGTAAATCAATAAACTTATACGCAAAATAATCAAAAAGAACATTGCAAAAAAACACAAATATACATATGTATGTGTATAAACAAACTAAACGGTAAAGTTTAAAATATTAAAAACAACAACAACAACGATATTTTCTGCGAGGCGACGCCACTTTTGACATCCCATTGAAAGTGTGCAGTTGCGAGCGGCTTGCATGAGGCTGCTAAAAAAGGTGTGTAGCAAAAAAAAAAAAAATCATTCATTAACGAACAACGAAACAAAAACAAAAATGGGCGAAGAAGTTAAGAACGGTTTTTGGCCAGTGTTAAACAACAATTCGCTGAAAGTGAGCCCAATTATTGATTGGGTGACAAAATTTGAAGATTTTGCAATTATATATTGAGATTTTTTATGCCGTTTGTATGTATCGCGCGCACACACATACACTCACGCACACACACACACACATGCATATATGTATACCACCTAGAAACTTGTATAAATACAACCCTCATCCCTTGCCGTTTTTGCGTCTTTGCTTGCACGTATTCCAAACACACACACACGCACACACACATGCATACATATGTATACGGTTTGTGTATGTGTGCGTATACAAATGCAAAAGGACTTTAACTTCTTGGTTCGTGTTCTTTTTTTTTTTTACAACAACGTTTTGAGACACAGACTGTTTCAATAGAAATGTTCAAGGGTGACAAGGGTAGTTTCTGCACAGTGTCTACACGGCCCAAAATCAAGAAGTGCATCGTTTCTGAGGCGTTGCACACGCACATATATACATACACACACACACATATGTATATTCAAAGGTAGAGAGAGAGAGAGCGAGGGAGAGCAAAGGTAGAGATGGAGAGTTTTTTCGGACCAAAAGATTTATTTTGTTTTGAAACTAGATTATTCTGGACTCCTGCAAGATACAGTAAAGCCACGCTAAAGCGCACAGATAATTACAAGAGAACAGTAAATAATAAATTGATTAGTTTTCTATTCATTTCTATTTCGTTTTGTTCTTTTGATTGTGAACTTAATCATTCACCAGATTCATTTTATGCTTTCGTTCAGTTCATTTAAATGAACCGTTCATTCGATGTTATTCAGAACGAAAAAAAAACAGTTCACAATAGGCAGCGTTCACTGTGGCAACTTCCAAGCCAGCAGCAGTTATTTAAATTAATTAGCTTTGAACACAAGAGTTAAATGTTAAACAAGTTTTTAAACGAATTTTCTTTGAGTGTAGCCTGTGTCTGCGTTTGTTGTTGTTGCTGTTGTTGTTGTTGTTGTGAGAGGGGATGAAAGTCGGTCGGCCGTTGGGCGTATGTCGCTCCATCTTGAAGATGGCAACCAGTTTTGTTTTTTTTTTTTTTGACATAGCCCAAACGCATTCGAGGTAACACGAAATCAGCCAGAACCTGACGCCCTGGGGTTGGGGGGCGCCCAATGGGGGTGGTTTAGCGTTATCTAGAATGTCCTATAAATAGACATTTTCTGGTGCGTAGTTTTTTTTTTGAAATTTGTGGGTCACAGAACCCTCCAAGTACAGCCAGCCAGAATTGGATTGGAAAATGCATCAAAAAATTTTAATTTGACTTAATTTTTTTATCGTTTATTAACCAATGGGGTTTTTCCGAGTTTTTTATGGGAATGAGGGTAGGGATAACTAGCAGAAACTTTTTTTCTTTTAATTATTTTTTGGTATATTATAATAAATAAATAATTTTTTTATATTTATTTATATTTTTTCATTTATTATAATAAATATATAATCTTTTTAAATTTTTTTTTATATATTTTTATATATTATAATAATTCTATTAATTATATTATCTTAAGGATCATGCTGACTTATGATCTATTTCTCTTCACGGGATTTCTAACCCTTAACTTCCTTGACTATCTTTAAAAAAAAACTCCTAAAATTAATTGAGAAATCAGGATCTTCCTCTTATATTTAACTAGACAAAATTTGTGATAGGGAAATATTAGCTCTCATATCATCAATTTTCTGGAAAACGTAAGAAGTAGACATTTTGCAGATCGAATCCAGCGTTAGCTTGTTTTTATCGATAGGCAGCGCGCCATTTTATAGGCGATCCTTAAGGGGAATCAGTGTCATAAATTTAAAGCGTAAATGCTGCGTGCCAAATGCCAAGATCAGCCCGAGCCCAAACCCGAGCCTGAGCCCAAACCCGAGCCTGAGGTTATTTCCGTGAAACAAATTTGACCTGCTGCCTAAAAATTCGGGTCGTCTTCGCGTTTTTCCTTAAGGGATCAGCGAGCGCGCAGGGAACAATGGACGACGACGACGAGGTTTTTCCCCGACACATTTTCCGCTACCTACTCGACACAGAAATGCAGCTGCCGACCCGAGAGAGAGAGAGATCGATGGACTACTTAATGCACAGCGGATGCTTGGTCATAAGTTAGTTAGCTGCCTACACGGCGTCTGTCAACCTCGCGTCTCTGCCTCGTCTCAGCCTAAAATTGACCACGGCGCGTTCCAAACGCAGCTACAAAATTGAATAACAATAATAATTAATTAATAAGCAGCCTGCTACAGAGACGTCATTTGCTTAACGATTAATTCATTAATTTGCAGCTTGAGAGTGTCTCGTTGACTGCCAAGAAGGGCCACGCCTACAACTCGTGATCTCAATACTCAACTTTTCTTATGATGGAACTCTTGTCAAACAATCAGGTTCCCCAACAAATGTCCAGCAGCAATGCGCCCAGCGCCGTCGCCGCCGCCGTCGCCGCGGGCGGAGGAGGAGCCAATGCCAGCGTTGGCAGCGGCAGCGGCAGCATCAGCAGCAATGCCAGCAACTCATCGGAGCGCCTGCTGGCCGGCATACTGGAATCATTTCCCGCCTGGGATCTCAATGTCGGACTGCTGCCCAACGTGGGCCAAGTCAACGGGTGAGCATTTCAGATCAATCCCAAAAGATACCTTGCTAATTCCGTTTCTCTCTCGCCGCACAGCTCGCCGCCACGCACGGACTTCTTTATCAACAACTTTCTGGGCGGCCTGGACACGCACGGCGATTTCAGCATGGTGGGCGCCATTGGCAGCGGCGCCACGCGCCATTCAAAAATGTCACCGGAATCGTCAAACAACTCGAGCATCAGCTGCGGCTGGTGCGAGGTGAGCGCCTCGATACGCTGCCTGGAGTGCAACGAGTTCATGTGCAACGATTGCCTGCGCGAGCATCGCAACAGTCCATTATCCTCGAATCATTCGATAGTCTCGCTGCCGACACCGATTGGCGCCTCACCCACCGGCGGCAGCTCGGCGAATGCCCAAACCCCAACGAGCAGCAATTTCATCTGTGACATTCACAACGAGATGTTGCGCTATGTGTGCGATTATTGCCGGAAGCTAGTCTGTCAGTTTTGTACGCTGCACGAGCACAAGGAGCACAGCTATGCGTCCATACAGAACTTTATGGTCGGGTCCAAGGAGAAGCTCGAGGGCGCCATCGAGAGCAGCCAGGTGGGCACACGGTGCATCAAGAGCAGCATCGACAAGGCGCTCGCCTTTATCCGGCTCATCGAGCGCAATTGCAGCGAGCTGAGCGATAATATACGCAAGGCGTTCCGCCAGTTCATCATTGCCATCGAGGATCGCGAGCGTTTCCTATTAGATTTCGTCGAGAAACTGCGTCAGCGCCGACTCGCCATACTGCACGATCAGATGGCGGGCCTGAAGTCCGCCCTGGCCGGCCTCTCCGAGACGTCCGATATGCTGAGCAAGGTGGCGGATAATGCGTGCAGCATGGATCAGATCGAGATAGCCATGAAGCTGACCAATGGCCAGCGTCAGATGGAACAGTTTGCGGGCATCTATAAGGATCTGCAGCCGAAACAGGAGGTGTTCGCCTTTGCGCCGCCCGACTACAGCCTGCTACAGGACATACGCAACCAGGGCGGCGTCATTCTGGTGGACGACAAAAACATGCCCATTGTGTCCAGCAGCAATGGCATTGTCGCCGCCAGCAATGTGGTCAGCGCGCCCGCCGTCGCCGTCGCGGGCATCGACATGGCCTTCGGCCTGAACAGCATGGCCAGCACGGCCGGACCACTGAGCGTGGTCGCCTCCAGCACAGCGGCGGCGGTTCGGCGTCCGCTGCTGCGCGACAATAGCTTTCGCATACCCTCGCCCATCATGCAGCCGGTGCGCGGCGGCAGCGCCTGCGGCATGTCCAGCGCTGCCCTCGACTGGGAGCTGAACGGGCTGCGCAGCTCGCCCGGCTTGCACTTCAGTGCGCCGCGCACAACCCAAGCGATACCCGGCTGCATGGATTTGGTTAAGGTGCGCAATTCGAATGCTTTGTCGCTGTCCTTTGCCACCGAGGGCCATGAGGACGGGCAGGTGAGCCGGCCGTGGGGCCTGTGCGTCGACAAGATGGGGCACGTTCTAGTCTCGGACAGGCGCAACAATCGTGTCCAGGTCTTCAATCCGGACGGTTCGCTCAAGTTCAAGTTCGGACGCAAGGGCGTCGGCAACGGCGAATTCGATCTGCCCGCCGGCATCTGTGTGGACGTCGATAATCGCATCATTGTCGTGGACAAGGATAATCATCGCGTTCAGATCTTCACCGCAAGCGGCGTCTTTCTGCTCAAATTCGGCAGCTACGGCAAGGAATACGGCCAGTTTCAGTATCCCTGGGATGTTGCCGTCAATTCGCGCCGTCAAATTGTCGTCACAGATTCGCGCAATCATCGCATCCAGCAATTCGATTCCGAGGGACGCTTCATCCGGCAGATCGTCTTCGATAACCATGGCCAGACCAAAGGGATTGCCTCGCCGCGCGGCGTCTGCTACACGCCCACGGGCAACATAATTGTGTCCGACTTTGACAACCATTGCCTCTATCTGATCGATCCGGACATCAATGATGTAGGCTCCTCCACTCCAAATATCTCTGCTTAACCCCAACTAATGCGAGATTTCTTTGCTTTCCAGATACTTTCTGTCAAGGGCCATGAGGGCTCCGGGTTCCATGAGTTCAATCGGCCCTCGGGCCTGTGCTGCGATGACGAGGGCCGCATTATAGTCGCCGATTCAAAGAATCAACGCATACTCGTCTTTAATCAGAATCTAGACTTTATGTGGGATGTAAGTACAGCTCGCGCAGCTGGCCAAGATCAAAGACTCACCTTCTCTCTCTCTCTCTCTCTCTCTCCAGATCGAGGTGCGTCCATCGATAAATCCGCTAATGCCGCCGACGCTGGATGAAAAGGATCGCACCTGCGATGTGGCTCTGATGCCGGATGGACGCATCGTATTCCTCATAGAGCTGTCGCCGGACTCCAAGGAAGGGTCTAACCCTTACAAGCGGTTTGTGCACGTATTCTAAATTAGTTTATAAACAAAAAAAACGGACAACAGATCAAAGAGACAGACGACGTTTTTTTTTTTAGACCATTTACAAGCGCTAAAATGTTTAGCAAAGCAAATCCAAAAGAAAAAACAAACAAACAAAAAACGGCATTAAAATTAGTAAAAATTTTTAGCATAAGTGCTACAACGATTACCTCGATAATGCTTAAGAGTTATTAAACACGGTTACGATTTGGTAATTTACACACAAACACACACACACAAACACACACACACATATATATTTAGCGAATATACAAGAAACAAGCAACAACCCGAACAAGATTTAACTAAACTAAAGCAAGATACCAACAAAACAGTAGAATTTTTAGGCTTGAGAACCTAACCTCGAAAAAAAAACAAAAAAAACCTAACCTAGAAAAAAGGAAGGAGAACCTAACCTAGAAATAACGAAGGCGAACCTAACCTAGAAACAAAACGAAGGCGAACCTAACCTAGAAACAAAACGAAGGCGAACCTAACCTAGAAAAAGAAAGAAAATTCTTATAAAGTAGAGGAGGTCACAATAAGTACTAGTTGAAAATATAATTACCTGTTAGTTAGACTGAGAGTGTGGGGCAGTTATCTAGCTGGAAGTTGTTGGGTTCGAGCGATCTTTGGTATGGGATTTGGTTTTTTTAGTTAAATTCTATTCATTACTCAATAATATATGATTCACTTTCGTTCCGGCTTAGTTGCTTTTCAATTTTAATATTGTGTAAAGGATTTATTATTATTATTATTATTTTTTTTAAATATTGTTTATTACAACTAATTTCTTATAATTGAGACTGAGTAAGTGAGAGTATGAAACTTTGTAAAAGGTAAAGATTACGAAAAAAAAAAAAAAACTAAGTAACTAAAAACTTAACACATAAATGGTAATTATAAATATTAAACAAATGAAAAACCCGCTGACTTTTGGTTGAACTCTTAACGAAGACTGATTAAAAAAAAAAAAAAAAAAACAGAAACAAAAACTAACGGCAATTGTGGAGCCAATTGAACACCATATATGGTGAGGCCAAAAACAAAAATTGCAATGACATTGATAACGTAACGTAACTTAAAAACCTAGCTATATACGATATACGATATACTATATACGATATACGATATATATACGATATATATATATATGTCTATATGTGTATATAACTCTGCAGAAAAACAGTCACACATCAATTCATAATATTTGGGGGCATAGCTTAAACCGAGTTTAACTGAAATACACACACACACACGCACACCCCTACACACACACACACACACACACACGCACATTGCATCACCTAGAAACGTTTTACTTTACAATTATTCTCATTACTTTTATTACTATTATTACAACAATTAGTGAGTGGAGAGAGTGGAGAGAGCGGAGAGGAGTGGAGAGTTTTATCATAATTTTTGACTTGAATGTGTTCATTAGCATTTAGTAGAGATCTTAAAATCGAGCGTGGCATAGTTAAAACTTTAAATTGAGAAACATATGAAACAAAAAATAAACGCCGAGCGCGTATTGAATACATATTTAGGTGACATGTTCCTCGCAAGAAATATAAAAAAAAAACAAAAAAAAAACAAATACAATACATATATATTAGCCGAATTTTGACAGCCAGTCAGTTGCACTAACTGACAGTTAAACGGAACAACAACAACTGACTAAACTGCTTAACGTAGCTGTAGACTGGAAAAAACAAAACAAAAACAAAAACAAAATATAATCATGTATTAGCCAACTAGTTATGTTTTTTTCTCTCTCTATATATATATATATTCTTAATTATTTAATTTCGTTTGATTGTCGAAGTCTCGTATTTGTTGTGCTTAACTTGAGCTAAAACTCCTTCCATGTCTAAAAAGCAACACGCATAAAATGCGCAAAACTAACAACAACAACAAAAATACATAATTAAATCAAATACAATATAAAGCATAAATGCACACACATATATGTATATATATGTATGTGTATATATATCTGTATAATAGCCCGTAGTTATATACAAACAAGTCGTACTTAGTGTTAAAAGTGACCGTATCGTAAAACTTAAGAGCTAACGTTTTTTTTTTATTCAAATTTTTAACTTAGCCAGGCGAGCTACACACACACACACATACACACATACATATATGATTTCTTGTAATTGCCGTAAACTCATAAACAAATCATACACACACACACGCACACGCACACTAACTTAGCCAGGCGAGCTACACACACACACACACATACATACATATATGATTTCTTGTAATTGCCGTAAACTCATAAACAAATCATACACACACACACGCACACGCACACTAACTTAGCCAGGCGAGCTACACACACACACACACATACATACATATATGATTTCTTGTAATTGCCATAAACTCATAAAGAAATCATACACACACACACACGCACACACACACGCACACACTTATATACCTTAGAGCGCCGTTCATTTTTTGTGATTTCTGGTCAGAAACCAGATCAAAACATTTCCTCAAATTTTGCAAACCAAAAAGAAAACCATACACAAAAAAAAAAAATATATATATATATATGCATATATATCTATATATATATATATATCATATATGAGACATATGAGAAATGCCATATTTTACTAATATTTCTACATGTGTGAGATTTACTAAGAATAATATAAAAACGAAAAAAAACAAAACAAAACAAAACAAAAAGCAAATACTAAAATCATTACAAATGAGCGCCGTTTTCTAAAAGCCACAGTTTTGAAATTGTGTAAAAAATAAATAAATGCTAAACCAAGATTGAGATTTAAGTGTACTACCGAATGCCATAATTAAAAATAAAAAGCATTTAAACACACACACACACACACACACACACAAGCAAACAAACATATAAATGTATATCTAAAGTTTAAAGTTTATTAATGTACGTTAAACACAAACTGAAAGTCATGAACAATTTGCCAAAGGCTTAAGAATCAAAAACAAAAACAAAATATAACTAAAATCAATTTAGAATCATGAATATCATACACACACACACACACACACACACACTCACACAGCTACGCATTCAAATAGTTAATTAAACATTTACATACCAAAAATTTCAATGCAAGCAGGTATTTTTTTTTTAATTTCACATATACATACATACATGCATAGATATGTAAAGAGAAAAAATCCCAAAAAAATTGCCCACATTTACGTGTAGAGCAGAAGAAGTAGAAGAAGAAGAGGAAGAAACAACATATAACTAAATGCTCATAAACAAGTAGCTTAATTAACGAGAACTAAAACGAATCCAAAACTTAAATCAGGTATTCAATTTTTTGTCATACTTACATATGCATATACATATATACACACACACACATGTATATATATATATATATGTGTATTTAGTTATAAGCCAACTAAATGACTAAAACAACTAAATGAACGTGAAAATAATTTTCCCAAAAAAAATACGAAAAAAAAACCTATTTATAAATCAAATTTTTATAACATGTCGATTAACGATGCAAAAGAAAAGAAAAATAACTGAATTCTTATATCAAAATACAATTTTGACTAAAATTTTATATGACAAGAATTCAAGAAATACGAAATAAAAACCCAACTACATGCATACATACATACATACATACATGTATATATATGTATATGTATTCAACACAAACCATTTAGCATTTAAAATATATCGATTCCAAAACGAAGAGCGCATATTTCATTTTGGGCAAATACGTACACACACATACATATACAATTAAACATAGGCATGCATATACATACATACATACTAACATACATTTATGTAATAATTATGGAGCAATTGAGTACAAAACGAGTACAAATTTAAATTTAAGCATTCAAAACATCAGAATTAAAAAAAAAAACACGCACTAAAAAAAAATACAAAAAAAAAAATTCAAAAAAAAAAAAAAGAAGAAACCCCTAAAAAAATATTTGTAGGCCAGCTACTGGTTTCGCATATACATATAGCTGTAATGAATACTACATATAGGCATCTATACATACATACATACATACATATATACATATATACATCTAGTGTATCAAAATAGTCTAACTGCGAATTGTATATTTGCAACAGACACCGACTCAAATGCTTGGTTCATCTAATGGCGACTTAAATGCTGAACAAATTGTATTCATACTACTTACATAAATACATACGATAGCGACATACATACATATATATAAAATGATATATATATATATATATATATATAAATACTTACTACTACGTACGCAACTACACATACATAAATAGTGCATAACTAATTACTACTATACTCTGTACGAAAGAAATTACCAAAACAAAACCAAAACCAAAACAAAGAGCATGATGAGAGCAGTGTTGCCAAGTCGTCTAATTGCGGCTTATTTTTGATTCGTCGGCCGAGAAGCAGTTGAAAATGTAGCTATTTTTCATTTGGCAACACTGGATGAAACTCTCCTTCTATGATTTGCATTTCATCGATTTCACAATTTTGGCATCAATTTAGATACATAGGCGAAAAAAATATTCATCAATTTACATATATATATATTTACATAGCAGAAGCATTGTACTAGGTACACACAAGTATTACATTACAATACATATATACATACATAATATAAGTACATTAATGAAATTAAATTACATTCAATTGAGATGGATGCAAATGCGCTCCTACATCCAGGCGACAAATTATAACAATAACGAGTTGCAGTTAAAAATTGTAATTGTGTAATAGTGTGGAAAGCAACAAAAAACAAACAACAACAACAACAACAAAAAATTCTACAATACTTAAATTGTAATTTTTCTATATACATGCATACCATAATAATATATATATTTATATATATATATTATATATATGTATATATATATATTGATGTGGGACAAGAATAAGAGTATATTTTATACGATAAACAAATTTTATAACATATTTAAATAATAAATTATACACTAATAAAATAATTTCGATGTTTTACTTTATTTAAATAAAAAAAAATGTTCTTAACTACGTTTTCTTTGTAAGATCTTCAACGACTTCAAAGAGGAAAAATTCGCCTACCAAAATTTCAAATTGTCATAAGTTATTTAAAAATCAACCGATTTTCATGGAGAATAGCATTTTGTGTTTAGTTTAATCTCTTCTATGCATTGGCTTTTCAATTGGATAGCAATATTTTTAGTCGAAATTTGTCTAAACTAAAATTTTTGTGGGGTGGGTCAAAATTTCAAACTATCATAACTTGGTGAAAACTTATCCGATTTTCATTAGGATTGACTTTTTGTGCATGTTTAAGTTTCTAGTTTGATTTGGCATTTAAAATTTGCTAATTAAAATTCATCATTCAAAAAATTTTACTATAAATTATACCATCCGAGATCCTGGAACCACATCTTAGACTTCCATAACTAACGTCAAATTTTGAATGATTTTCATAAGTAAAGACATTTTGATTTACCATTTTTTAATTAATTTAAACTTGGTATTTCTCGAGTTAAGCCCATTTTGTGTGTTCGCCTAAGGTTATGCTTCGAAAATCTGAAGAGTTAAGAGCTCAAAGAATTCTTATAAAGAAATTTTTTTTGAAATACATCTTGGATTATAAGTATTATAGAAGATATTCATGAAATGTTTATTATAATTTCTGAAGATAAAAGTATCGTATTTGTAAAATGGAGTTTATATATATTATATGAAGTATATGGAGTATATATATATGGACAGACTCTGCGATAATATTGTAGGTAATTGCAGCTCGAGTATCTAGACTAGATTGCTTTATTTTTTATTGGCCGTCTCGCAATTAACCGGAGCTTTGGCATCGCGTGACTTTTGGGCCAAATTAACAAATACGGACGGGCTAATGGAGTAATCTTAAACACGTACCACATATTAACGAAAGTCCAGTCACAATTAGATCTGTTTAGTTATATATATGCAAGCATATTATTAAAGTAATTAGACGGCGATAAACCTGTCGCGTTGTTTGACAATCTAACTGCGGCTCGAAGTCTGATCTTCATGGTCAGGGTCCGCTGCGGGTTTCGAGTAGATACTTCAGAAAAAATAAAAATAAAAAAATACAATTTTCAAGCGTCTTTCAATAACCGGTTCGCGCGCCGTCAACAGCTGTTTTGGGGGAAAAGTAAACAAATCATCTATAGGAGATCTTTTGCTAGTTTATTCAGAGGCGGAGCAGAGCTCAATTAGCATCAACCTTTGCGGACTAGGTGGTTTTCTGAATACCCTTTCCTAGGGTATGAGTCTTAATCTATTATTTAATGTATTTGAATAGCCTATATATTAAACATTAAAGTGCTTAAAACAAGGCTCATTTTGTTTTTAAATATTCTTTAATTAATTTTCCAAATTGAATATGGGCTTCATTTAGTTTTTGAATATTCTTAAATTAAGACAAACTTAATTTAAAAAATTTAATAAAACAAAAAATTTTTTTTTTTCTTTAACTATTCTTAAATCAAGTTATACTTTATCTTAAATTTAGAAGGTTTTTTTTGGTTTTTAATATTCTTAAATTTAGTTAAACTTAACTTTAAAAACTTGAATCAAGTTCTTCTACAAGAATGTGCATAATTCAAATAAGCTTAAAATAATCGCAATGGAAATTTATAAATTCTTTATTTAAGTACATTTTGAGATGAATTCAGTTCTTCAAATAAGATTTTGAGCTCAGCTCCAAAAATGCCAAAATTGAAACGATTTTGATTGTGTTTGGGCAAGTCTCTGTAAATATATTTAAGTAAGGATATTTAGCTTTCGATCTTCTCAAAGATTTTTTTAAATTTTTTATTTACTCTTTTTATTTTTTGAATGTTAATGTGCAAAGTTTGTTAAAAATAGCCGCGCGACCGGGAGCTCATCAATCACGCACGCTAGTTAGTTTTTTTTTTGGCAGAATATTTGTTTATTTTTTAGCTTTAAATTGCTAAAAAAAAAAAAAAACCGCCGAAACTAGAGTCTTACCAAAATGAAAAAATGCATTTCAAAATCAGCCGGGCTTGTTAAAAAATGTCTGATTACAGCAATTAGGCAAAATTAAACTGGAATAACGCCATAACTCGGAGCTAAAAACAACAACAAAAATTGACAAAATTGAAAGCGAAATATATATAGAAAAAAAAAAAACTAGCCAAACCCGAGCCTAACACATAGCGTAAGCCGGCCGTTTGGCCGGATTCGAGCCGCAGACGTGTTTCGAACGTTGGCCCGTCAGGTGAATCTATTCCAATTAACTGTACGACGAACAGGCGCACATAATATCTCCACACTTTGGGTAAATTGCGCTGCGCTTTCAGACTCGAGATTCGAGAGTCTCACACAATCTCAGTTTCGGTTTCGGTTTCGGTATCGGTTTGAGTATTGATGCGTGCCACAAAGATTTGATTTCAATATACATATGTATTTCGTCAGGCGGCGGCGACAGGTTGTGCATACAAATCGAGCCAAGGCGCTGCGCCCAACCTCGCGACTTGTAATTAAATCAAACTCGTAATCCAAAGCATAGTCGAGCGGCCAAATGGACACCAGCTCCGCGGCGGGAGACAGCTCAGTACACAATTGGCCTTTGGCTGTATTAGCGGGCGTTCGGATTTTGTCGCAAGCCACACGATAAGCGTTTAATATATTAATGCGAACAAAAATAAAACAAACACGCGCTGCCCGTACTACACAGTGAAAAATATTGGTGTCATTCAAGATTTAAGTGCGAAACTTAAAGTAAAAGTTAAATGCAACAAGCTAAACAAAAATTTAAAACTGAATAATTAAAAAAGAAACGGTTATCTGTTAAAAACTGTAAGCTGCATTGAACCTGGGTCCTCTCGTTTGTCAGAAGGGCGCCTTCCCACTGAGCTACGCGCGCACCAAATCTCTAATTTAACGAGACAGAGCGTCAGAGAGAGCGAGAGAGAGAGAGATTATTAAAATCGAGTGAATTGTGAATGATGCGATTCTGAGTGCAATTTCGATAGAATTACAATTACGAGCAAATTGAAAAGTGTATAATTTAAAAAAAAAAGTTTATCTGTTAAGAACTTTAACATGCATTGAACCTGGCTTCTCTCGTTTTGGCACTCAGCTGCGCGCGCGCTTTATTTGGCTGATCTTTAACTTAAAGAGAGAGAGAGAGAGAGTGAGAGGGAGAGAGATCATTAAAATCGAGTGGAGGCTGCGCCGTAAAATTGTGAATGATGCGATTCTGAGTGCAATTTCGATAGAATTACAATTAAAAGCAAAATGAGTTTTATTTATTTTTTATTGTGTAATGTGTTAATGACTTAACTATTAAACGCGGTGAGATGCTGGACTGAAAGTGAAACCAAAGCAACAATGAGCCATAACCAGTCTAGTAATTGTATTTGTTATCGAATCGAGCGCCGTAAACGTGACCCAGTGTCGTCGACCCGCAATGTCAAGTTGGGAATGAATGCAAAAGCGCTTGTAATGCACGTCACCCGGCGCCAATTGTGTCAATACACACACATACACATATACACATGCACATAAGTATTATGTAATATGTGTATATGTACATCCAAAATGGCGAGGGCCTTGAAACTGTTTGGGATGGGGTGTTAATAAATCTTATATGTCAAGTGCAGAGAGACTTTATATCGCCGGGGCAATAAATGAAACGTGTTAATTGTTCTCCTCGCAACAATTAAAATAATTAAGCAATTAATTATTAAAAAACTAAAATAAAAGGCTGCCAGCTGCCAGCTGCCAGTCTTCGTTGCATTTTGCACAATTAAAAACTTAACATATGTGGGCTGCATATTATTTTCCCAGTGAAATGGTGCTAAACTGTCATAAGTAGCTACCCTATGCGTAAAGGGTATCTTAGTTCTATGGTGCATTACAGCAAATACTCTGAATACTTGCAAAAATCTTAACTTTTAAATTAATCTTATTTATTATTTAGTTATGCAACACTTTTGATTAAAAAATCGTATTACCCTACCGTATTACAGGGTATCAAGAAAAGTGCAGCTAGCAAAAAATCGTATATTTCTTAATATTCCCTTTAGTTGCAACTGAGCCGCGACTGCGTTTGCCTTGAAAGCTTAACAATTTAAGAGAATAATAATAGTTAAAATAATTAAATAAAAAACTAGAAAATTGTCAACATGTCGGACAATTATCGGCAACAAACACAGTCAATACCCATCATTTATGTGAGTGACAAGAACACAAAAAACGGTAAGACTGTAATTATTAACTAACTATTTGAGCAAAACAATTCTATAAATATTATTATTTAGATGCAGGCGACGGAACGACTGTCATTAATATTGGTAAGTTGGCCCCTAAATGGATATATATAGACGATTTGTACTATCATGCTGACTGTGTCGATTTGCTGGCGAACTAATCATCATTAGTGGGCAATATTTGGAGGTGCAGCTGACCCCGGGGGGGAATTATATTAAACAAGTGTACAAATCCATTGCGGCTTATGGCATAACATTCCACTGATTGTATCAATTACCATAAAGATTAGACGCACAGTTGTTGCGCTTGTTGCTTTTATCAGTACATAAACAACAAATATTTCTATACATATATGTTTGCTGCGATTAGTCAGACTTGATAACTGCGTGTAGCAGAATATTTTATTCAGTATCAACCGGCATTTGTGCTGTGACACTTGTTTTGCTAAGGTAAAGATTTTATTTTTCAAAATACGCGATTTAAATATTATACTGAAAAGCCGACTTGTAGATCCACAGAAACGTCATTTTGCTCTTCATATATATATCCCTTTGTAAATCTTAATCGAATAATGCCGCATTTACATTTCATAGAGCGACTCATTTAAATTTTTTAATTTTGGTTTTGTCAAACAAACGTTACAAAACTATCGGAGTGCGTCGATTAAACGATAACAGCAACGGCAATAATCGCATTTCGGTACTTGGTACTCAGTACTCGTACTCGATAGCTGCTTTCGGCTAAAATCGTTCACTCGCAACAGCTGTTTAGTTCACTCGGTCCGATTTGTATTTGTTGTGGGGGGGGGGGTCATTTTAAGCGAGGTTGGCATGCGGTGTTTGCTTTTCGAAACGGGTTTAAGAACTGAATACGATTAAGGCAGAGCGCAGCGGCTGATTTAGTCAACTGCTCGCCATTTCAATTTCAATCTTCTCGTCGTCGTGAACGTCGTCGGTTGTGTTTTTGTGTGTTTATTTGTGCGTTGCGCGTACATTTTTTTGTCAATTAATCGCTCGCTTTTACGCCCCATTGCCACAGCTTCTGCGGTTAGCCTGTGTCTCTGTGCCCCGCCAACAAAAAAAAACACAGTAAAAGTAAATAAATATATATAATTATAAAAAGTGAATGTGCAAGTCAGCCCCATTGAGACGGACGTAAACAAAGTTTTTTATTCTTGTTTGTGTGTGTTTCTTCTTTTATTCCGCAGAAGCAGAAAGCGAAAACGCCGCGCCCGCACCCGCAACCGCTCCTGCACAGCCCGATATAATGGCAAATTTCGATGATGTGAGTGTTGTACTCGATGCCAGTTGCCAGTTGCCAGTTGCCAATTGCAACGGCAAAAGCAAATAAACAAAATTAGTTATGTAGTATATGCCGCATGCAATTTAATGCGAGCACCACAACCAAAAAAAAGAAGAAAAAAAAACGACAAGGAGAGCAATAATAATAACAATAACAACAATTATTAACGAACATTTGTGCACGTAACAAACATTAAGCCTTCTATTCGTCTGATTTTATTTGATTTTTGTCGTTTTCATTCGTTTTTGTTTTCGTTTTCGTTATCTTCCTATATACGTACGTACATATGCGCTCATGTCCGTGTATCTGCATGTGCGTGTGTGTGTGTGCTGCATGTAACTCCACAACACGACCTGATCATTGCGAATGTGCAAAACCAACAACAACAACAACAACAACAACAATTGCGATGAACAACGAGCAGACACTGCAGCGCGCCCGTCTCGCCTTCGCCAGCGGCAAGACCAGGAACGTCAGCTTTCGGTAAGTAACTGTAACCAAAGCTGGCTTCAGCCGAAGCCCAAAACAAGCAACAGCAGCTGAGGCTGTTATATTTTAATTATTATTTTTTAGTTAGTACATGTAGTAAGCAGGTCGTCATGTAATGTAAATTACAAGCATTGTCGCAACGCTGGCGGCGTCTTAAAAAAAAGTAACACAATTCGTTACCACACGCAAACATTTGTGTAGATGTAGTTAAAATAAACATGATTACATATGTACGTACATACGTACAAAAATATACATGCACTCAGATATATCTCTAGTTCATTTTGGGATCACAGTACAAACACGCCAAGTAGCAAAGAGAGCTTTTGAACTCGTTCACTTGAACTTTGTGTCTTCTCTGGAGCTCAGCCGTTGCTCTGATAAGAAATGTAGATAGCTATTTATATACATAGCAAGACTGAAGTCTAAAATAATGTGTACATATGAAATGTAGAACAAGAGTCGGGAGTGCACACATTGGAGGCGCGCTGTACCCATTTGCTGTTACTAAAATTCTCTTATTAGATTTTAATCAGTATACAATCAATCATGTTTTAAGTGTACCCATATATTAAAAGGAAAAATTAGCTTACTGGAACATTTGTACTCATTTTTAGCACTTTCTTTTGCACTAAATGCGCACATATACATATATATGTACGTACACTTAGAGTCCAGTGTTAAACGGGTTGCGATCTTTGATCCTCTCTTCTTTTTGTTTTGCTCTTTTTGTTTTTTAGTACTTTCTCGAACTACATTCCGACCAGCTAGAATAATTACTTTAATAGCTCGCATTTAGATACGACAGTTATTTGGAGAGATATGATATTGTATATGGAAGCACACACAGACAAGCGCAAAAATTGATATGTTAATAAACAAAGACAATATACTATATATATATACATATATATCATTTTGAGCGCAAAGTGTGAAACGGAAGTGCGGACGTATCTTTGGCCCCCCGCGCCAAGGTTGATAGCCATTTAGTTTCATGATCTTTTTCTTGTTGAAATAAACTCTGAGGAAACGTGTCGAGTTCTGCGTTAATTTTGTTGTTGTTGTTGTTGTTTTTTGCCTTCTTCTTTCATAGAAGCGCATAGAAAACATCTAAGCTTAAATACATACGTAGCTAAATATATCTATGTATTATACATAGAGTTGTCGCCCAAAGTCAAAACGTTGCTTGGTATTTTAAATTGAATATCAAGAGTTAATGCCATATGGCGATAATTGCTTCATTGATATGCGGTACGATCATTTCTATATATAATTACTATAATTTGCCTAATGCACGTCATATCGCGCAATCAAGTGCAGCTACAATTGCACCTGGATTTGACCCTGATTTGACAACCAGAACACACTTGTTCTGATTGACTGACTGACTGACTGACTGATTGACAAGCAGCTGAAACCCTAAGAGTTAGACACGTGCCTGTTTTTAACTTTCCTTTTCCTGGCTTAGCGGTTGAAAATTGATTAGAAAAGCATTGCAGACGTTTTTCACACATTTCGGACAATCCACGCTCTCTTGTGGAATTGGGTATCAAGGATTTGGGCTCAAACTCCTCTCCACTCCAACATTTCGGACAATCCACCCCTTCCAGGTGGAATTGGGGATCAAAAATTCGGCCTCAAACTCCTTTCCGAGGATCTTTATGAATCCACATTGCATGTTTCACACATTTCGGACAATCCACCCCTCCCAGCTGGAATTGAGGATCAAAAATATCAGCTCAAACTCCTCTTCTCTCACCCCTCCCTGGTGTAATTGGGGGTAACATATTCGGGATCAAACTCCTCTCCGAGGATCTTTCTAAATCCACCTTGCAGCCGTGTTTCACACGTTTCGTACAATCCATCCCTCCCAGCTGGAATTGAGGATCAAAAATATCAGCTCAAACTCCTCTCCGCTCATTTCGGACAATCCACCCCTCCTTCGAGGAATTGGGGATCAAAGATTCCAGCTCAAACTCCTTTCCGAGGATCTTTATGAATCCACCTTGCAGCCGTGTTTCACACGTTTCGTAAAATCACCCCGCCTAAAGCAACAAATTCCCAATAAAATCGGGTAATACCAGCTGCTATGCACATAATTAACATCTTTGTTATGTGTTCTACATTTATGTTGCTAGCCTCTAAAGCTGAATTTGCGTTTTTTTTTTTTTCAAAAGATCAGCAACTAATGCGCCGGTAGGTCGACCGGTTTTACAGTTCTAACTAGATTTTATTGAAATATATGTGAATATATATTTGAGCGAGCAGCTGATGTCGCTTTGTTGCGTCATATGCGAGAAACGTAGAATCATTTTCAAAACCAAATTCTGTATAATTTATTATTATGAAATCGGTTTCGATTATCGATTAGCATTGACCTTCATCTCATATATTACTCAGCATAAACGACTGCGATCTGATCTAAGGTATTTGCTATTCGAGTACTTGTTATTGTTATTGCTTCTATTCGCTAGTTCGTTAATTGCCCATAACTTAGCCGATATTAAAGATCAAAGACCGAAAAAAAAAACGGTTAGCAGCATTCTAATTTGATGCCTTGTTCTAACAACTGTTCACACGGCTGAACAAGATACGTTCTAACAGCTGGCTTGTAATAATTGAATACCCTGTAAACATTTTAAATGGGCTAATCGCAAAATATAGTTAACTTTCATGTCATTAAATCTCCCTGATTTCATATAGATCCTAAAATAAACACAGCAGTTATTTAAGAATGAACAAAAAAGAATTGTCAGCTGCTTTTTTTTCACGGTTTGAACCAGCGCCCTTTCGCTAACCCAGTTTGGCTTGAGCCTTGGCTTGTCATATATTAAAATTTTAATTTTTTTCCGGGCTACAGGGTATATGCTAGTCGTGCAGCCGCGACTTAAAGACACCTACTTGTTCTGTTAATTTAATATCTCAATTATCTATCGTTAATTAGACGCAAGCAATTGGAAAATCTACTGCGCTGCTATGAGGAGCATGAGAACGAGATTATCAGCGCCCTGGAGGCGGATTTGCGACGACCCAAACAGGAGAGTTTAATTGTCGAAACGGAGTTCATGAAGAACGACATCAAGCACATACTCTATAATCTGAACGACTGGGTCAAGTCGGAAAAGGTGAGTTCTTTATAGGAAATTCCATAGACATGAAACTAATCGCAATAATTGCTTGCAGCCGGACAAATCGTTTGTCAATATGCTGGACGATGTACAGATCTATAATGATCCCTTTGGCGTTGTTCTGGTAATTGGCGCCTGGAACTATCCGCTGCAGCTGCTGCTGGTGCCCGTTGCCTCGGCCATTGCCGCCGGCAACTGTGTCGTCCTCAAGCCCAGCGAAATTGCCGGCAATTGCGCCAAGTTCATTGCGGAGACAATACCCAAATATCTGGACAATGTGCGTACACGATACCTAAATTCAAATAGAATTTATTTCATTTTACTTAATCTAAAACCAGGATTGTTATCCCGTCGTCTGCGGCGGACCCAGCGAGACGGCCGAACTGTTGAACCAACGCTTCGATTATATATTCTACACGGGCTCCACGCGCGTAGGCAAAATTGTGCACGCGGCGGCCAACAAGAATTTGACGCCCACAACCCTCGAGCTGGGCGGCAAGAGGTGAGCTGCTCCCCATATAAATGAATAAATTGTAGATTAACTTATTTTGTTATTGCAGCCCGTGCTATATTGACAAATCGGTGGAGCTGCGCACAGCTGTCAAGCGCATATTGTGGGGCAAGCTGATCAACTGTGGCCAGACCTGCATTGCGCCCGACTACATACTCTGCTCCAAGGAGATGGAGCAGAAGTTCATAGCCGAGGCCAAGGAGGTGCTCAAGGAGTGGTACGGCGACAATATACAAAGCAGCCCCGATCTGAGTCGCGTCATCAATCAAAACAATTTCCAGTAACTGAAACGCCTTCCGTTTTCTGTTTTTTTGTTTTGCATAAATTGTATTGTGTGTAATTTGCCTTTGCAGGCGTCTGTTGGGTCTGATGAAGTCCGGTCGCATTGCCGTTGGCGGCAAATACGATGCCGGCGAACGTTTCATAGAGCCCACAATTCTGGTTGATGTCAAGCCAGACGATCCCGTCATGGAGGAGGAAATCTTTGGCCCCATCTTGCCCATTTACACAGTCGAGAATGCCTACGATGCGATCAAGTTCATCAATGCCAGGTATGTCGGTTCGTTGCGCCAAGCCCAAATCGAATGTGTTTATATATCAATATATATATTTGATTTCGCCTATCATTGTCCTCGCCCATTTATCAAACACACACACACACACTCGATTTTTCTGTTGTCCCCTGCCAAAAATGGCTTCGTTTATAATCTGATAATAATGCCAACAAATGTTCCATGTCTGTCTTGAATTTTGCGTTGAATCGATACACACAAAATGTAGAGAAAATCCGCTCGTCCTGTATATTTTCACATCGGAAACCGAGGTCCTAGATCTGTTCGTGAATGGCACACAATCGGGCGGAATGTGCGTCAATGACACGATCATGCATTATGCCGGTAAGATCTTGAAAATGTCAAAGAAACCTATGTAAATGGATGCTATGCGACTTCAATTTTGGCTGCGGTTATTCATAAATATATCTATAAATATATATATATATGTATATATATGTGTATATATGTATATAGTGTATGCGTCTAGCCTTTAACTACTTGAAATAAGTTCTTAATTTCTGCAACAACAATTTGTGCATTAAGGTTGCGGCTGCTACCCCCCCCCCCTGTTTTTCACCCCCCCCCCCCCTCTGTTTGCCTGCGCCCAGTTTTCTTTTAAGTTTGGCTAAATATTTGTAAGTTAATTGTTGTACAAATCTGGTGTCGGTTCTAGTTTAAATATTAATGTAATCTCTTTTAGCGTTGTGTGCCAACAGCAAAGCCCGATTCCTGTGTATATTAATGCTTCCCGTATATATAAGATTATTTGTATTATCTGTCTGAACTTTTAACTGAAGCTTCCTTAGACTTTGGTATGGAAAGTTCGACCTATGAGTAGGTTAAAGCGGCGGTCAAAGTTTGTACAAAAAACGCAGCCAGGCAAAAGTGACCGAACGTCGGACTGACAAGCGTAAAGTCGCCGGCTCAAATCTAGCAGCAATTCAGACTCATTATGCAGAAAGTTAGCATAAGAAGTGGAATGCATAGACGCGAGAACTTGAGCCTGCTTATAAACCCGCCTGAATTTGATTCGATTTTTCGCACAAATCAACTTGTAGTATATTACATATATATATATAACTACATATATATTAGTTTGCCCCCGCACACAGATTCATTCGATTTTGTAATTCATCAAACTCTCATGCTCCAGACTGTTCCAGTATGTGTTTTAGTTAATTAGTTTGGCATGTGATTTGAATTTGTCATCATTTTTGTAGCTTATCTGTTAATGTAAATGTATGTTAATTGTTTTGAACTTCCTTCTCGATTGAATAGAGAAAAACCACTTGTACTCTACGTGTTCTCGAACTCTAGTAAATTAATCAAAGAGTTTAAGAATAATACGACAAGCGGCGGATTCTGCAGCAACGAAACAATAATGCACGTCGGAGGTATATATATGGATACAAATAAATAGAAACTTAGTTTAAATTTAAACTTGATTTAAAGTCGTGTTTATGCAATTCGAATGTAGCACAAAATCTTTGAATGTTGACCAGCTCGAAATTATATAAATTGCAGCAGTTTTTTTATACACATATTAAAAAGCACACCGAGACACAAATACGCTGCGCACACACAACTCGCAGGTTTTATTGGAATTGGTTTTAAATTGTTTATTTAATTGGCCTTTGATTTAATTACGAAATGCTTGCTTGCGAAATAATTTAGCAATTTGCCAAGTGCGAATATTTAATTAACAACCGGGTTGGATTGGCTGTGCAAATAAAACTAAATAACAAATATTGCAATATGCTGCAGCTAACACAATTATAGTAATACATTCATACTATTTGCTTGACATTGATATATAACATTTCGGGATTTCCCTTTGACAGTTGATACCCTGCCCTTTGGCGGCGTCGGCATGAGCGGCATGGGCAGCTATCATGGCAAATATGGATTCGATACGTTCACGCACAAGAAGTCGTGCCTGGGCAAGAACCTGGCCATGCTGGGCGAAAAGATGGCATCGTAAGTGGCACACCATACACATATATACATATATCTTTTCATTCCATTTTATATTCTTTTATATAGTGCCCGCTATCCGCCGTATTCGGATCGGAAGAGTTCGCTGCTTTCGTTCCTGTTGCGCAAACGCCGCCCGCTCCCCAACTTGTATCTGTCACATATATTTGCCGCTGGTCTCGGCATTGGGCTCACATTCTTGATGAACTATTATCTGCAGGTAAGAAAGGTATATTATGCAGCCGAGGCATTTGGTTTGTGGCCAATATTAATCGATGTGATTATTTTACATGCATACGTACACACAATTTCACCGGGCCAACTACACAAATCCCAATCAAATCATATGCACCACACACGCATATTTGCATAAATTCCAATTCCAATTCATGCCCAACCTACGTCCACCTTTCTAGGGCAAGCTGTTGTCGCGCTAGAATCCATTACGTCTATGGCGGACTTGAGCCGTAACACCATCAGCCAGTGGACTTTTGTCATTTATACTAGATTTGGATTCGCATTCGCAGTAAATGCACAAGCATTTAGTATTAGTTTATTTTTTTAATGGGCTTTGTGCTTTGTACTAACTTGTATATTAAGTATTAAGTATCTATTTTGCATTTAATTACAACAACAAAAACATGCATCCTTTAACCCCTGTAAAATGTAAATAACCTATTCAATTTGATTGTACACTTGAGAAACATAACATAACACCTATATCTTTACCCGTATTTAATTGTTTTTATTTACAAGTCAATGAATCGATTTATATTTTCAGAAATCAGAATCTAACTAAATATGAGCATGTACTTTTGTACTTTTAATACGCAAAACGGTGGGTGATGTAATGCTATTGGATACTCCGCTTTATACTAGTTATTGTTATTTAGTTGCTATTTAAATAAACACAAATATAAATGTTAAAAAAAAAAAACTTTAAGCCGTTCGTTACATTTATTTCAAATGCCCGCCCAACAGTGTTGCCATATTGCGGCCGGCGATAACAGCGATAGCAACATCGATTTGAAGCAACCATGCGTTTGGCATTTTAAGCATATTTATTGAAATGTATATAGGGGCACACTGGCGCCAATATTAATTTTTAGAGTCACACCGAATTTTTGTCTATCATTATCCGTTCACTTGGCTTTTTTAATTTATTTTGTTTTGAGAATAATACCGTATAAAAACATCAATAAAATGGCCGCTCGCGGCGATCTAATTGCACAATTCATTGAAATCACTGGCGGCGATGAAAATGTTGCTCGTTTCTATCTGTCCAGCTGCGACTGGGACATTGAGGTAAATTTAACAGAAACCTATTAACAAAGAAAGGTCAAAAAATGAAATGAAAATTTTATATAAATCATAAAGCAAGCACTTGGCAACTACTGGAGCACACAATCGGACCTACCGGCCATTCGCACTCTAGTCGGACAGTCAGAAACCCCGACACCGACACCGGCACCGGTAACAACTACAAGTGCTGCCGGCGCCAGCGCCAGCGTCAGCGCTGCCCCCGCCGCCGCCGCCGCAACGGCGACAGCCGCTAAAGCTGTGCCGGCGGCAACTAGTGCTCCACCAAAGGCTTCAACTGCTAAACCAAAGTAAGCTATTTGGTTAGTTTGTGTGTTGTGCTGTGACCCATTCTTGGTATTTAGGTTTGCCACGCTCAGCGACATGTCGAAGCAGTCGTCCAGCGATGATGAGCATCAAGCCTTTTATGCCGGCGGCTCGGATCGTTCTGGCCAGCAAGTCTTGGGACCGGCAAAGCGTAAAAACTTTCGCGAACAGCTTACCGATATGATGCGCTCCGCTCAGGAGCAGAACATAGCCGAAGTGGGTGTCGGTCCCTCGACCAGCGCCACGGCAAACGTTAGCGGCGGCAGTGTTTGGGGTCAGGGCATGCGTCTGGGCATGACCGACAATGATCACACGTCAGTGGGCGCCAGTCGCCCGGCACAGCCAACGGAAAACAAACCGGTTGTGGTACTTAAGCTCTGGAGCCAAGGCTTCTCCATTGACGGCGGCGAGCTGCGTCACTATGATGATCCGCAGAACAAGGAATTCCTGGAGACGGTGATGCGCGGGTAAGCCGGAAGCATTTGATACTATAAGAACACGTGTTTTAATTCAGTTTACTCAAGTGAAATTCCACAAGAACTGTTGGAAATGGGACGCATGGTAAACGTCGATGTGGAGGATCATAGACAGGAGGACTTCAAGCGTCAAGCTGTGCCACAAACCTTCAAGGGTTCCGGCCAGAAACTGGGCAGTCCCGTAGCCAACATTGTGACAAACAAAACACCAGAAGCTACGGCTACCGTCGCCCCTGCCGATGTGGCTAACCAGGAGGCCAGTGCACGTGATGCCATCAATTTGAATGCCGAAGCTCCATCAACCACACTCCAAATTCGTTTGGCAGACGGCTCGCGCCTGGCGGCCCAATTCAATTTGACGCATACCGTCTCGGACATACGTCGTTTTATACAAACGTAATTGGACTTGTTCCGTTTTTGTAGGCAATCATTAAAACGCTTGATTTCTTGCAGCGCACGTCCGCAGTACTCGAACAGCAATTTCGTGTTGGTGTCGTCGTTTCCAACACGCGAGCTAAGCGATGACAGTTTCACAATTGAGAAGGCTGGCCTTAAGAATGCTGCGCTGATGCAACGCCTTAAATAAACTGTTCACTGTTGAGATAAAAGATACAACAAAATAATAATAATAATACAAATGGATATGGTGCATTCAAATTGCAATACAACCCAAAAATATAACTACAACATTCACAAAATACTTTGTATTGCCAATTCGATATTGTCTATTTATTATATATACAATATAAAATTGAATCGTGTCCATTGGAGAGAATTGTCGTGGCTTTATGGCAGTCAATTAAAATCTCAAGCTTATGCTAACTAGTGCGCTACTTAGACTAGGCTTAACTATTCAAATGAGTAAATCGACTTCATTGCGCAGATCGTTGATGTGATCCATCAGATCCTCGCGCACCCCATTTCGCCAGTTGTGCAGCCCGTCCGCGCCAACATGCTGACAGTCGACATAGCGATGCGCAAGGCCGCTGGACAATGGCAATTCAACGCTTGTTGCAGTAGGCAGCAAGAGCTGCGCCGCCGGCAGCTCCAAGCGGTAGAGCAGCAATTTGTATGGCGACTTCAGCTCGGGATCGTATTGCACATTATCGACAAGCAACTTTTTGCGCTCATCAAAGCAAACAGCAAATGTGGTCAGCTCGAAACGTGCCGTTGCCGTGGCATAAACGCGCAGCAGCTGCTGCACCGAGCCCTTGGCCAGCTGGCTAGCGAAGCGTGCGTTTGGATACACCAGCTCGTTCGGTGTCAGCAGCATGGTGAAGCTGGCATAGTTCACATTGCGCAGCAGGCAATCCGTCTGGAGCAACTGTCGTATGCGTGCGGCTGTTGCATTTGTTTGCAGAAACGGAAAATTGAAGGGCAAGCCATAAATGTGCATATTGGTGCGATCCAATAGACGCACGACCTGTTCCGGCAGCTCGTCATAGTTGTAGACCAAAAAGTGCTCTACGCCCAGCGCCTGATGAAACAGGAAGAACTGCAGCATGGCATCCGCATTGCGGGCAAATCGCGTGCTCTGATCAAAGCTGACCAAATCCACGCAAATGGTGGCCGGCAGACGCACCTGGCCGCTGGCAACTGTCGCTGCAGCTTTTGTGGCTTTGGCAGCTGCCTGAACATCTGCTTTGACAGTCGCCGGCTTTAGGTGGCGCAGGCGCAGTTTCACCTGTCGCTTGATGGCCGACGTCGTATCGCTGAATAAAACAAACGCCGGCTGGCCGAAATTGCGGCTCACTTGACAGAAGAAATCGTAGTTGGTGAAGGTGCTGGCCTTGTCATCGACCACGCCCTCGGCGGCATCACGTTGAAAGCGAAACTTGCCCTGGACACTGCGTCCGCCCACGTCAAAGCTGCAGCGAAAATCGACAACAGCTCTCTTTTTGCCGACAACAATAATGTGCGCTTCTCCGCCGACGACCAGCTCCTTTTGTTTCCTAAACAATGCGTTTCAATTTAAAAAATAAATACATATATAGCAGACAGTTTACTGTACCAGTACGCGGAGTAGGCATAAAAGGAGTCACCTATTAGCTGCCAAACTGGAAGCGGCTTGGAGAATGCCGATTTGGACAAATGTTGAGGATCTTCGCCTGCTGTGCCGTTCTGTAGGCGTCGCAGGACGGCTGCATCATTGCGCCCAAAGAAGTTGACATACCTTAACACATATTTCAGGCGATTGTTTTCGCTCTTGTACATCAAAAGGACGCCGACGCTGAAACAGGATATCAGCAGCAGCGCCAATTGCTGATACTTTCGCATTTTTTGTCGCCTTTTTCAACTCTAGACGGGAAAGGTCCCGTATGACAAACAGCGAACAGTGTTGCCCTATCGTGCGATTTCATATGCACCGAGACTACAACAACTTCTTCCCACGTTTGCAACAGTTGGGGGAAAATATTGAAATTTTTAATAAGTTTACTCATATTTTACATTTATTAATAGATACTGCACAGTATTTGACTCTCGTTTTGATTAACAGTGCTTATAAGTCGAATGAATTACAGCACGTACATTATATACTCATGTTCGATTTGAAAAATTTACTCGATATGCTGTCAGGGTAACCGCTATTCGGCTGAGCGTAATTTGTTCGGCTTGTTATGGGCAAATATTATTCTCGTAGGGTCACACTGACTTTACCACCTCTCTTGAAATAAGCTCAAATAATTTTTTTTTTATGATTTCCACAATGAGCGCCAAGGAATCAAAAGCCCTCATCAAGGACATACGAGAAACAATAAAGCTGGCCAAATATGGAGACGCCATACACAAATGCCAAGTGACGACAAATTCCAATATGAGTTCTCTTTTGTTTTCATTTTGCTGATGTGACGTTCATTTCAGCGACTACTCAAAAGTGACCCAAAGAATCCAATGGGCTACCTGTTACTCGGCGCCGCCTATCAGTACGTGGACAAGTCCGAGGCGGCCAAATATCTGCGCAAATCCATCGAGTACACAGACGGACCGCCCACAGTCGCCCTGCAGGGACTGGCAAATTGCGCGCCAACGGCGGAGCTGCCTCAGATTTATGATCAGCTGGTGGACTTAGTGCCGTAAATGCAGCCAACATCCCAGCTAAACAACAACATCTCTTATATAAGATTCATAATTGTAGTGAGAAATGTTTGGACTACTACGAAAAGATCTTTGCCCTGGCCTCGGATGCGGCATTGTCCAAGGCCTGTTTGGGCATATTCAAAAAGCGAGCGGAGAATCCGAATGACAGCAATTTCAATAAGATTCTGGAATATCTGGGCAGAATATGGTTTTCCAGTGAAATGGAGATATCAAGCGCTGAGAGCCAGCTTGTAAGTAGGTTCCTTCTTGCTCGACAGGTTATTAAATTCTCATTTATTTTGTGATAGTACAAAATGAGCATGGAAAATCTCGTGACTGTCGGTGATGCAGATCTGAAGGGCATGGTATATAAGCGCTATCTGAGGTGGCTCTACAAGCAACAGGACTTTGTGTCCTGCATACGCAACGCCTGCAACATGACCGTGTCGCATCCGCGCGATGTCTACGGCTACGAGTGGATATGCAAGACGTATTGCGAGAACCATGATCGGGCGCACAGCGAGGCCTGGCAACGGGAACTGCCCCTATCCATACATATATACGCCGAGCAGCTGCTGGCACTGAATCCCAACTCCAACTTGGCATTGCTCGTCAAGGCATTGGATCTGTTTAGCCAGGAGCAGTTTATTCAGGCACGTCAGCTGACGCTGCAAGCGCTGGAATGCCAGCCTGGCTACAGGGTGGCCCAACAATTGCTGGCGCGCATCCATATGAAATTGGGTGCACACAAATTGGCGCTGCTGCTGTGGCAGGAGCTGGGCGTAGAGCACGAAGAGTATGCGCAGTGTCTGTCATACGGGAACGATGCCAAACAGCTGCAAGAAGCCGTCAGACTTCTAAAGGACAGCTCATCTAAAGACGAACTTAATGTCAAGGCTTTGGCGCGGTGCTATTACAAGCTAGGCGAAACGCAGCAGCTGAAGAGTTTGCCTTTGGATGCAGTTACACGCGCTGAATATCTATTGTAAGCTAAATCGTTTCCACTACACGGTATACTTTTATATGTGTATGCCATTTGTAGAACACCCACCGAAGCGCTGCAAGCTATGGTTAGCGACGAGTCCTTTGAGGCACAACTCTTGTGTGGCAAGCTGCACATGCAGCTGCAGCACTATGCCGAGGCACTCAACTGCATGCTGAGGGCCGCACGACTGCAGCCGCACATTGCCGAGTGCTTTGAGCATTTGGCCCGTTTGTATCAGGCGAACGGCGACATTTCACGCGCCCGCAAATGCTTCGAGAAGTGCGTCAGTCTTAACCCCTTGGCCGAGCAGGCCGTAGATGCCCTGAGCTGCATCTATCAGCAGTTGGGCGAGGAGGAGTTAAATGAAGCGCTGTTGCTGAATACCCTGCGACACATGAGCAACGACGCGGAGGCCATTCGCTTTCAGTACAAACTGGGCTTGCACTTTTTGCAAGTGAAGAAACTAGATAACGTGAGTCTATAGCCTATAATCCTCAACTAAATATACTTCTTTCTAATGCAAATTTCCTTTAGGCAATTCAATACTTTCGCATTGTTATTAAGCACGATTTTAAGTGCATGGCCTATTGGGAATCCCTGGGCGATGCGTATGCGGCGCGCGGCTCCTACAATTCCAGCATACGTGTCTTTCAAAAAATACTCGAGCTTTCGCCCAACAACTGCTATGCGAAACTCCAAATAGGTGTCATCAAGACGGTTATTATAATGAGAATATATAATGTAATACCTTTATGTTAATATATTATTTTCTTCCAGACGATACGCATGTATCCCGAGGCAATTGCCGACTTTGATGAGCTGCTCGAAGAGCATCCAGATTATTTACCGGCCTTAAAAGGCGCTGCCGAGGCGCATATTGGCCTGGCGCACAACCTAAAAACTCAGAATCTTTATGGGCGCGCCAAGGATCACTTCCAACTGGCTCTCGGATATTTGCAGAGGTCTCACAGATAACATATATATCTTATTTCAGCTGACCCACATTTTGTATCATTCACAGCGCTTTCTTGGACACCAAGGCTCAGGGCATGGTTTGGCTGTGGCGCCTGACGGCCAGCGTCTTGGTGCAGACAGCGCAGTTGCCGCAGTCTCTGGCCAATTTGGATGTGGCTGGCAGTTTGGCCAAGCGAGAAGAGGAAATCGCGTACTTGTCACGCAAGGATCTGTTGCAGCTGGCGCAACGATTCTATCTGTGCGCCTTGAAGCTAAAGCAAAACACGTATTTGTGGTACGAATTGGCTTTGTGCAGCTACTACAGCGCCGTCTATATGCCGGAGGATGCAAAGGCTCATCTGGAGACCGCTACCAAGGTATGCAAAATGGCCATCAAGGAGAGCCCCAATCGCTGGCACAACTGGAATCTGTTGGGCGTGGTCAATATGCATGACGCCAACGAGAATTTGCCTGTGGCGCAGCATTGTTTTATACAGGCAGTTGTGCTGGATCGCAAATCATATACGGCCTGGACAAATCTGGGCGTGCTGTACATCAAGCTGAACGATATACGATTGGCCAACGAGGCCTTTAAGCGTGCCCAACAATCGAGTCCCATCTATCCAAATGCCTGGATTGGACAGGCCCTGGTGGCCGAAATAATTGGCGAGCGAGAGGAGGCATTTGATCTCTTTCGGCATTGCCAGCAATTCGGCTATCATCCGGAGGCAGCTCTGGGCTATGCGCACTGGGTGTGCCATGAGCTTTCCAATCCGCAAGCCAAGAAGCATATCTATGCGGATGTCTATGCCTTGGATGCCATCAATTGGTTTGTTATAATCATTAAGTTTTCCTCCATTCCATTAATTGTCCTTTTATTTCGTCCAGGTATGTGCAAAACGAGGAAGCGGAGGCCAGCGTTTCGTCGCTAACTATTCAGGGATTCTTGTGCGCACGCCTCAAACTGTACCAACAGGCAATCAATGCGTATAAACGTGCTTGCAAGGAGTCGGAGCCGGGCGATGATCGCGACAAGCTATATACAAACCTAGGCTATCTTTACTTGAAGCTGGGCCAGCCTGAGCAGGCGGTTAGCGCCCTAAACACGGTGGCCCATGCCACATTTAAGCCCATAATTGGTTTGGCCTTAGCCTATTATCGCTCTGGTCAGCTGCAAGAGTCGTACTCGATTTATAACTCGGTGCTCAGCAGCGTTGTTGGTCAGAATGATGAAAAGGCAGCAACTATTTTGGTGGCAATGGCCTCCATGGTCTATGCCTATCAAGGCGAAACGGATACCAAAACATTGTTATATCAATGGTAATCCAAAGAAATTAGCCTACAATCTTAGCCAAAGCTAATCAACTTGTATTTCCTCCACCACAGCATACTGCTCAAAGACGTGCCGATCCAGGCATTGTTCTCCGCGTGTGCCCTGGGCGTACTGCATCGGGACAACGAGCTCATTCAGATTATCATGTCTGAGCTGAGGGCTTACCATTTCAACGAGACGCACTGCGCAGATGTGGCCTACCTCACGGCTTATGACTGCTTAATCAATGTAAGCTATGCGGATTAGTTTTTACTATGTCACATATTAAATTTACTCTCTGTTTATCTCTCTCAGGAGGGTCCCCGCCAGGCTCTTAACTACCTACAAAAGCGTGTACGCATGTTTCCTCATAACGCTGCCCTGCGCAAGATCTTTGTCAAGTTTCTGCTTGACTATTTCCATGAGGATTCCGGCTATCAACGCGCCATAGCCAATATGGCTTTGGTTGCCCTCCAATTGGGCCACTCCAACATGGGCGACAGGTATGATATTTCTCCATATATATGTATATCACAAAGTTAACTATTCTTTTTTGTTTTGTTAGCATTAAAGCCAGCGAGCAGTCGGAAACGACCATCCTCGCCAGTCGCGCTCTGGAGCCAGTGGACAAGGAGCATTCGCTAAAACTCATTCAATGCGCCATACGCATGAATCCAATCAATCAGCAAGCAAGACAATTGCTTGCCAGCATAACTGCGTGATAGCCCTATAACTAATTAAAAGTTAAGAACAATAAAAAAGATGATTTTTTTTTAATTAGAGAGCAAGAAAAAGGTAAATCCTTCGAGCCGGAGTCGAACCAGCGACCTGTGGATGTCTACAAGATTTTCATACTACAGTCCATCGCTCTACCAACTGAGCTATCGAAGGCGCATATCTGCGTTGCACCCAATAGCATTCACTTAATGAGAGCAAAAACCCAACATTTTCCGACCGAAAGGTGTTGCAAAACACCAAAAAGCTTTCTTGTGTATGTGTGTGAAAAACGCGTAGTTTATTTTTTTTTGGTGTGGTGACACTGGCCACCATTCTTTCTGGTCGGGGTTGATGCAAAACGATAGTGAAATAAAAGCAGTAAAATGTGTATTAAATAGTGAAAATATCAATAAAAAAACAACATGCAAAAGTAGTTAAAAAGTGTGTTAATCCGCTGCCTTGTTAGTTAGATAAATTCGTGTCGAACGTTTTGCAAAGCTTTGTTGCAACCTGTGCAACAGAGGGAACGGCGTCTACTTGCAGCAGCGACAACGACTCCCGACTCCCCACCCTGCGCACCGCGCTTGCACCGAAATACCTACATATGAATGTGCTGCATACAATCAAACGAAACACATATGCACATGTATATACATATGAAAAAAACCTGCTGCCGTCGGCCGTAATTACAGTTAGACACTAAAATAGCAACACGGTCAGTTAATTAGGGTACAAAGCGCGAGTTCAGGTGGCGACGGCGACGGCGACTGGAACGACGCCCACGCACGCTTCCAATTGCAATTTTGCAATGGAAAACGAATCCGTCAAATCGGAACACAGTGGACGCTCGCGACGCTCTCGCAATCACAACAACAACAGCAGCAGCGCCGGCGGCGGCGGTGGAGGAGGAGCAGGTGGCGGTGGAGGTGGAGGAGGTGGTGGCGGTGGCACCGTAAATAACGGATATCATCGGGATCGTTCGCGCCACTCGCATCGCAGCACGCACTCATCCAAGTCGGGCAAGGGACGCGGCGACATGGCGCCCTATCAGACCAGTGTAAATATGACGGGTAAGCAGACGCAGAGGGGCCTGTTCTAGCCTCCGTATCAATCTTTACGGATTCAAAATAGATTTTGATTGAATCTAGAACAGGTCCCAAAAATATTCCTTAGTAACAACTCACAAGTAAATCCCTTGCAGGCGACGAGTCACGTGATGGCCAGGAGGTGATTGAGGTGCAAATTCTGCCGCAAGATGAGAACTGGGGTGAGAATACCACAGCCGTGACGGGCAACACATCCGAGCAGAGCATATCCATGGAGGACATCAACAATATGTGGCATCGCGAGAACGACAAGGGCTTCGGTTTTGCCTGTCGTCGCTACGTGGAGTCGACATTCTATTTTCTGCTCGGCTGTGCCGCATTCTTCTCACCAGTTGCCATGGTCGTGATGCCATACATTGGCTTCTTTCCGTCGGCCTTCGATCATCCGGAATTGACGCAAACGGTACGCATCCAGCTGCTCGCCTGCAGCGAGCAGTGCAAGGGTCAGCTGGTCTCGCTGGCCGCCCGCCTGCTGCTGCTGGCGATCGGACTGTGGGCGCTGTTTATGCGCCGGACAACGGCGAGCATGCCGCGCATCTTTCTCTATCGCGCCATTGTCCTGCTGCTGGTCACCATTTGCACCTTCGCCTATTGGCTCTTCTATATTGTGCAGGTGACGAACGGCGCCAAGATTGTGGTCGAAACCGGCGGCGATGCTGTCGACTATAAATCGCTTGTGGGCTATGCCACAAACTTTGTGGACACGCTGCTCTTTATACACTATGTAGCCGTGGTGCTGCTGGAGCTGCGCCATCAGCAGCCCTGCTACTATATCAAGATCATACGCTCGCCGGACGGCGTCTCGCGCTCCTATATGCTCGGCCAGCTGAGCATACAGCGCGCCGCGGTCTGGGTGCTGCAGCACTACTATGTCGACTTTCCCATCTTCAATCCGTATTTGGAACGCATACCCATCTCTATATCGAAGTCGCAGCGCAACAAAATCTCGAATAGCTTCAAGTATTACGAAGTCGACGGCGTCAGCAACTCGCAGCAGCAGAGTCAGAGTCGCGCTGTCCTGGCGGCGAATGCGCGGCGTCGGGACTCTTCCCACAACGAACGCTTCTACGAGGAGCACGAGTACGAGCGTCGCGTCAAGAAGCGACGTGCACGTCTCATCACGGCCGCCGAGGAGGCCTTCACCCATATCAAGCGCATCCACAACGAGCCGGCACCGGCACTGCCGCTCGATCCGCAGGAGGCGGCACAGGCCGTCTTCCCATCGATGGCCCGGGCATTGCAGAAATATTTGCGTGTAACCCGGCAGCAGCCGCGACATACATTCGAGAGCATACTGAAGCATCTGGCGCACTGCCTGAAGCACGATCTGTCGCCGCGCGCCTTTCTCGAGCCCTATCTGACCGAGTCGCCGGTGATGCAGAGCGAAAAGGAGCGCCGCTGGGTGCAGTCGTGGTCGCTGATCTGCGACGATATCGTCTCGCGTCCCATTGGCAACGAATGCACCTTTCAGCTAATACAGAACGATGTCTCGCTGATGGTCACCGTGCACAAGCTGCCCCATTTCAATCTCGCCGAGGAGGTCGTCGATCCCAAGAGCAACAAATTTGTGCTCAAGCTCAACTCGGAGACGTCCGTATGACACCATCAGCAGCAGCGCCAGAGAACTCCGCCCATAATCACGCCCACGCACAGCAATCAAACGCAATCCTCCTATTTGCATGTCTTTGTCTGATACTCTCCTCTAACCATAAATTGGGATTGGGATTGGAGTGGGATTCTAAAGTAAGAATATTCCAATTTTATGCTCTATACTTTGTTCGTCCGATCGAAAAGTGATGTCCAAATTTGTAGTAGAGACAAACATCGAGCCGGTCAACGCCGGGCAATGCTCGCTAGTATTTTATATGATTAGATTAAACTTTTTAGGCAGCTGCTCCTGGGCGTATTTTAATTCCGAGTTTTTCTTTGAATTGTTCTAATCCATTTAAAACTCACTTTAAGGATAAGTTTAGAATGCTCAAAAGCCCAGTGAAAAATCTATATAAATATCCTAAGCTAACGCACACATATCACACAATCCCCTAAAAAAAAAATGACAAAATACAAAACTGACTTACAAGTTCCCAAAGTATTAATCTTAAGTAATCGAAGAAACTCAAACAACTTTCGAATGCAGCTTCAATTTGTTTACTGCCTTTTTGTTTAGTGTGCAGTTATTATTATTTTATAGAGAATATCAGATAAGTAAAACCTATAAAATCTATATATATTCCACTTAAAATGATATAGGACTTGCGCCAAGAGTGTGTCGTGGAATTTCGGGCAAGATTTTAAAAGTTTATTTTAAACCCAAACTGCGACTCGACATATCTATAGAGATATCTCCTGTAACTCGAATGTAACTTGTGACAAATACATAACTTAAGCAAGAGACTGCATTAATGCATTTTATATACACTCAAATCTTCAACTTATATATACATATATATTTGTACTAACTACCTAATCGGTGCTTAGCAACAGACTAGAGCACACACTAGGAACGAAAAAGAAAACAACAGAGATAAGCTAAAGTAAACATTTTATTATGATAATGATAATGATAAGTACTTACATACCCCCTACATATATATACATACATATATATATTTATTGTAGCGACAACTTTGCCTAGTTTTGCCCACGTTTTTATTTCATTTTCTAGCCAAATGCTTTTTACCAGCACCCTTTCTTTTACTCGCTCGATCCATGTGAAGCTATCTATGGCGTATTTATAGATTTACGTACACTCAAGCTGTAAAAATACGAAATGCGAAATAAATGTTTTCAACGGCTTTTGTTCAACCATATTTTGTTTATATAAACAAGCAATTCGTGAAATTCAATTTAATCTTAAAAATTTGAGTCGCATTATCTGTTTGTATGCGTCATGAAAGGGTATCAAAATCCGTTCAATACGCAAGTGACGCAGAGAAAGTCAAGTTTTTAACGATTGCCCACTCAAGTCAATTATTACAGATAAGGCTTAAGAAGAGAATAAGCAGACCGAAAATTGTATACTCTATTGGAAATATAGCAAATGTGAGCTATATAGGGTATACAATGTGCAGATATGAACTATATGTCCAATAGGGTATATAATCTTCGGTTACCTTATTCTTGTCTTAAGCCTTCGGTCTACAATTTTCAAGCGAGTCGATTCGACTGAGCGTCGGACTAACCGGCGAGAGGTCGCCGGCTCAAATTCAGCAAGAAAAGTTCATTTATGACTGTTTAAAAAGTTTAACTGCAACAAAAAGTCCGAATATATGCTTGATTCCTGGTCTATGATATATATAGAAGATAATCATAATACTCCACATAATCATAATACCCTCTGGCAGGGTATAGAGTAGGAAATCTGATTTCAATTAGTGATAGATTGAATTGGTTTCAAATAGAGATTGATTTGATTTGTTTTTGTGCTAGTTGGAAATGTTTATTATGCATAAATATTGTGCTTATATAGGGTATTATATTTAAATATGTCTGTTAGTATTTGCGTTAGTAACGATTAAAAATATCAGTTAGTGACTAAATAAATGTCTATTTGGTTTTGTAGAGTGTGGGAGAAGTCCATACACAAGCGCGTATTGAATGTGCGGCGTCAAATTCGGGTTATAGTATATAAAGGGTATTCAGTCGGCCGACTTGCGCTGCAGCTGATTCTTTTCGGGCTCGTAGAACTCGTTGACAACCGCCTCTTCCATGTCCTTGAGCGTTTGGGTGAGCTGCTCCCAGGACTTATCGCCCGGCTTGCCGCACATTTCGGCATAGTATTTCATTTTGGGCTCCGTGCCGCTGGTGCGCAGCGTAATGACGACGCCGTTCTTGAACGTGAACGTTATCATCTGGGAGCTGGAGCTGACCGGCAATGTGGCCTTCTTGTCCGCGGCGCTGCTGTCATAGCCTGTGGTCAGATCGCGCACATGCTCGATTTCGTATTTGCCAGCGAGTATGCTCCGCGGATAGGTGTTCGCCTGGCCATTGTCGTAGGTGCGCAGCCGTTCGAAAATCTGATTGCTCTTTGCCTGATCGGAGCAGGTGACATAGGAAGAGACGCTCGTGTGGTAGCCATAGATCTCATATATTTCCGCCAATTTCTGCTGCAGTGTCACGTGCTCCTCGTGGTGCAAATAACGTGCCATTGTCGCCACATGAGCGGCAGCGCTGACGCCATCCTTGTCTGGCACATTTGTGGAGATCATAAAGCCGATGGCCTCCTCGAAGGCAAACAGCACCGTCCTGCCGGCCAGCTGCTCCTCGATGGCCTTGTTGGCCATCCACTTGAAGCCCGTCAGAGTTTCGTAGAAAATGAAACCCTCATTCGCTGCCACTGATTTCAATATCTTCGAGCTGACCGTGCTGGCGATCATCACGCACTGGGACAAATCGGCATTTGGATGGCGCATCCTATACATCTTGATTGCCCACCAGCCGAGCAAGGCGCCCAGCTCATTGCCGCTGAATAGCTTGTACTTTGCCGTGTTGGCATCAAATTCGGCAACTGCCAAACGATCGGCATCCGGATCGTTGGCCAATATGATATTACATTTCTGCTCCCTTGCCGTTTTAATGGCCAGATCCAGGGATGTCTTGCCCTCCTCTGGATTGGGCATGGGTGTCGTCGGGAATTCCGGATCGGGCTCAATCTGCTGCACAACTGGCACAACTGGCTGCAGATTAACCTGCTCGAAAGCCTTCTGCACATACGGATAGCCAATGCCATGCATGGCCGTGTAGGCGAAACTCAAATCGCACTTGCCATTCGCTTTGATGAGTCCATCCGGAATTGTCTTTAACAAAGCAGCATAATAGGCAGTCTCCACCCGCTCGTAAGGATCGCTGAGCAGCTCATTCGACCACAAAGTTGCCTCATCGACAGACCAATAATTCTCAGCTGGTTCCAGGTTCTTAAGTATGGCCTTGTGTATGCCCGAATCGTGCGGCGAAATTATTTGGGCGCCGTTCGTCCAATAAACCTGCAAGTATACATATTTATACACCTTCAAAGGACTCAAAGAACTCAAATTGAGTGCAATTTTCATACCTTGTAGCCGTTGTCTTTCTTGGGATTGTGGGATGCCGTCACCTGCACGCCCGCCAAACAGTTCAGCTCCTTGATGGCAAAGGACACAAAGGGCGTGGCCGCGTAACGATTAAATAGATAAACGCGAAAATTGTTCTTCAAGAAGACAATGGCCGATAATTCAGCAAAGCGCTTGCTATTGTGTCGCGCATCGTAGCCAAAGACAATGCCACGTTCAGACCATGACGACTTGTCGGGATACTGCTCCTTTAGATAACTACAGAGTCCTTGGGCGGTTCTGGGAAAAGAAAAGAAATGTTTGTAATCGGAGATTTTCTTCAACGAATTGTGTGAAAACTCACTGCACAACAACCAAATCGTTCATGGAATCGAAGCCCGCTCGCATTTCAGCACGTAGCCCGGCCGTGCCGAATGCAATCCGTTTGAGTAGACGCAACTTGAGTCTATTTAAAGATTGCACTTGGATTATTTGTTTATATTGAGCATATTAATTACGTACGTGTCCCAATCTTTGGCCTCGATCAATTTTAAAATTTCTTTCTTTGTTTTTGAATTTCCATCCCATTTCATCCACTTCTCTATGAGATCATCCAATTCCGCTTCGCCTGAGAGCGTCATGTTTTTAAGTTCATTTATCTCTTGGGCCATTGGCAGCTATGTTGAAAAATCTGAAAAATTTATCAAAAAAACTCTAGAAGTATTAATAATTGTTTTTATTATTAATTTTAGTTGATATATGTATATCCACTACTTATCCAATGTTCGAACCAGGATTCCCCTCACTAGTTCACTTAGACAACTCATCTATCTAGGACATGCACCATGTATTTATTCCAGCTATTTTTTTAGTACGTTACAAATCTTCTTCAGACACCAAAACCGACAGCAAGGACCTCCATTAAGCAAATCTCACGAGTTAAAAAAAAACATAATTCTTTAACCACACACACACACACACACACTCGCACACAGATATAAAAAGATGAGTAATTGCAGGCATCGTCCGATGTTTTTCTCTCTTAATTGATTGCAACAGCAGCTGTTAGCGACACACACCCCTTACTATAGTGCCAAATCAGATTGAATGTACGCACATATGCTTATACGTATTTGTTTAAGAATTGCGGCTTATCTCACCCGGTAGTTGGTTTTTTAATGAAGACCCCGCACGAAGCCTCGAACTTGTTTTGGACAACAACAAATCGCACTAATGAGACGGTGAATTGCAACCCAGCAGCTAACCAACATCGTAAAAAGCACAAATTAATCCACAAAATACCAACTGTATTTCGAATAAATACCATCTTAGCTAAAAGTCAAAGTGCAAAGGTTTATTTTAAATTTGCAAAACAAGTGTAATTATTTGCTGATTTTTAATTTTTTATTTATTTGTTTAAGCTTAAAAAAATACTTTCTTATATATTTGTATTTCCAATTATTTTTATACCAATTGAGATCTAGTTCAGTTCACTGAACCATCGTATTTAGTTCATTGAGTTTTGCCATAGAACGCCGAAGAAAAAAAAATACAACTACAACACGCGGAGAAAACAGCTTAAAATATTTAAGAAAAATATCAATAAACTAATAATTGTTACTTAAAAAAGGGAAAATGGCTGATGTGCTAGATATCGACAACGCCGAAGAGTTTGAAGTGGACGAGGATGGAGACCGTAAGTATTTGCCAAGCCGGCTAATATAATGCTGCTCTAATAACTCACACACCCACACACTCACACTTACACACACACACACATAGAGGGCATTGTGCGCTTGAAGGAAAAGGCCAAGCACCGCAAGGGACGCGGTTTCGGCAGCGACAGCAACACACGCGAGGCAATACACAGTTATGAGAGGGTGCGGAATGAGGACGACGACGAACTGGAGCCAGGGCCGCAGCGTTCGGTCGAGGGATGGATCTTGTTTGTCACGTCCATACACGAGGAGGCGCAGGAGGACGAAATTCAGGAGAAGTTTTGCGATTATGGCGAAATAAAAAACATTCACTTGAATCTGGATCGGCGCACAGGCTTCTCCAAGGGCTACGCACTGGTCGAGTATGAAACGCACAAGCAAGCGCTTGCCGCCAAGGAGGCACTCCATGGCGCCGACATAATGGGCCAAACCATTCAAGTGGACTGGTGCTTCGTGAAGGGACCGAAGCGCGTCAAGAAATCGGAAAAGCGTCGCAGATAGGAAATGGAATATATATAACTTTTACATTAGCATAAACCAACGAATACAATGGAAAATAAATTTTATTGCAGTGGCAATAGCGAAAAGTGGGTTTGCCCGCGGCTACTTCATCTTCTTCTGGTGCAGCAAATGCTTGCGCATGGCCAGCTGCTTGTCGCGGAAACTCTTCTTGACCTTGGAGCGCGCCTTGTGCCGCAGCATGCCGAAGTTTTTCGTCTTGCGCTTCTCCCGATTCGTCTTGGAGCAGTGCTCATTGACACGTCCGTCCTTCCAGCCGAAACGCTCGCGATCCTGACGACCCGCCTGCACCGTCTCCAGACGCGACTCCTTGTCGTGCTTGCGCTTCTTGTAGATCATCTCAATGCTGTTCAGCTTGACGAACTCGGCCCGATCCTGCTCCAAGGGCCGCTTGCGGGCACTTGTGACCGTCTTCTTCAGATTGGCGGCATTGATGCGCTTGAAGTCCTCGTCCGTGAAGATACGCGTCAGCGCCAATTCCTGCGCAGCTTCCTTTTGGTTAAGCATCTTTATGTTTGCCTTCTCCTTTTTGTCAGCTTTGGCCGCCTCGTCGCCCTCACTTGCAACGCCTTCATCAGACTCCTCTGCATCAACGTCCTCCTCCTTCTCGTCGTCATCATCATGATCCACTTCGTCCTCATCGTCATCACTGTCCTCCTCTTCCTCCTCCTCATCGTCACTTTGGGCTGGACCCTCGCCATCGCTGTGCGTCACGGTCACCCACTCGCCATCATTGGAGTCTGTGTCATCATCATCGCTGGCTATGTCAATGGTCTTAGAGTTCTTGAGCAGAGCTTCGGCACCGAGGACTGTGTCCTGGACATCGCGTTCGCCATAGGCGCGCACCTTGCGCTCGGCCTGCGCCTCTGTCTGACGTCCGCGATCCTTTTTGTGCAGTATCGCCGGCAGCTGTTCACGGTAGAGCGTGATTAATGAGCGCGCGGCCATCATCACAGACTTCTCCTTGTACGTCTTGTACATGGCCAGATCCTGCAGCAGATCCTCGCCCATGGCCAGCGGGCAACGCATGCAGATTTCGCGCGTGGCATTCAGGCCAATGGCCATGACATCGCTCGAATTGCGTTCCGTGATGAAATTATTCGCAATCGTCTTCAATATGGGCTCAATTATATCGCCGGGCACCAGCTCGTGGGATGCCTGCGCCGCGAACTGGAGGACGCGCGTCACCTGGCGCTGATGCGGCTGCATGAAGCGCGTAATATACGGATAAAAGCCGAAGAGGAACAGCTCGTGTATGCCAATCAGACGGGATATGACATCCAGGTGCATTAACTTGACCTCGAAGCGCTCGTTGCTCGACTGCAGCTGCTTGAACAGAGCCTCGGCCATGCCCTGCGGATTGTGGATCAGGTGTATGGCCGAGAAATTGAACGCGGGCGCGTTCTTCTTTTTCTTTTGTGCCTTGACAGCCTGTTTCTTGATCTGCTGCAGCTGTTTCTGACGCTTCTTGGTCTTCTTGTTGACACGATTCGCCATGAGCGCGCCCTTCAGGTCCACCTCGGGCTCGCTGTCCGAGTCGGTGGCGGCCTCATCCTCATCGTCGTGGCCAAGGAAGAATTTCAGCGACGTGACCAGCACCTAAAATGGAATAGTTTATGGATACATCGTAGAAAAACAGCTTTGATTGCCACAAACCTTGGTGATGGGCGAGAAGCAGCCGACGCTGGCGATGACATTAACTGACTTGGCATCGTTCCAAATGTTCTTCTTGTAGAGCTCGATCATGATGTCGACCGACATTTTTGCCGCCTTTGGATTGGCATCCTTCAGCATGGCGAACATGAAATTCTGCAGGCTCTGTAAGGGTAATTTTGATGGTATAAAGTGGAGCAAGTGAAGCAACAAGTGGCCTCCACTTACCGAATTGAGCTTCATGTCCTTGTGCTTGGCATTCATGTTCTTGATGTCGGTGACAATGTGCGTCTGCAAGAAGGTGCGCAGATTCTTGTCCTGGCAGCGCAGCAGCTGGAAAAACAGCTCCAGTATGTCCAAGGCCGGCACAAGATTCTTATTGCGTAGCAGAATTAACGCCTTGACGAAACAATTTCGCATCGCCGGATCCAGGACGGTGGCGCTGCTTCTCAGCAGATCGGTCAGGTGCTTGGGAAACTGCTGGCACACGTGCGGATAGCACTGCGCCACCTGAGCAATAAACATTATGATCTCGTCCAACGATTTGTTTTCCTCGCCCGGATTCAGGGCGAAGATCTCGAGCAGACTGAGGAAATGCTCGTATTGCGTGTGAAACTCATCGCTGTAGGATTCGGGATCACGTTTGATGAGATTTTGCAACTGTGGAAGATTATCCGGCAGTTGATTATTGGGCCGCACCATTGTAAGACGTAAATTTTACGTCTTGAAAGCACGTTCAACAATTAATAAAAGAATGCACGTGTCTTCTTCTTCTTACTGCATGAACAGTGCTGCCACCCTTTTCCATTTGAGGCGTTTCCACTTGAATAACATTGTGCAAACAGCTGATTGTATGTATCGAAAACAGTTAATAATTTAATATATAATTTGCAAATATGATAATGTCTAGTGAGAGTAATTTAAATTCAAACACTGCATCGCACATATAATTTCTTGTTTCCAACCGATATAGCTTATAAGCGCAGCTGCAGTGACAACGTTTTCCAACACAGTGGAACAGTCAGTAAGAACGATAAATAATAATTTAGACAGTGTAAAGTTGGATAAATACACGCGAATGCTCAACTCGATAGTTAAAAAAGAGAAGTTAAATACTGTGATGGGAGTGAGATTTTATTTCAAAAATGATAACATGCTCTGTTATCGGAACCAGTGAGAACAGCTCGCTTTTTGCTATCGTTTTCCAACACAGCTGCCGCAGTAGAATTAATTTTTTTCTGCAAGATGATGGACCTGCAGTCCAACGACGACATCGATTTAGAGGATGGAGAGGTAAATAAGTTCACAAAATAGCTAACTAACAGATAGTTAATAATGCGTACCGCACTCCAGTTGTCAGCCAGCGGCGACGATGAAATCTATACGCCGCTGCAGCGACCGGCACCGGCGCCCACAAACGCACCTGCTGCTGCTGCAATGGACGCCGCGGAAAACGTTGCAAGTCCGCTTGCCACATGCCATCAGATACAAAGCGCCCTGGACGATGAGTCACAGTCGAACAGCGAATCCACATCGGGTGAATCCTCCGAGGAGGGTTGCATCAAGAAGCTGCGCACCGATACGCACTCAGCAGGCAAAAAGCGTAGAAAGCAAATCAGACGCACCGTCATGGTCCGTGTGCCGCCGCCGCCGTCGGAGACCACGGACGCTGAGCCGAATCGGGCGCGTTTCAAGAAATACAACATCTGGACAGCCGCCCTGCAGGAGGAGGCGCTCAGCGAGAATATGCGCGGCTGCGACGTCACGCGCAACAGCAGCGATCGCAACGTTGAGAACTATGATTTCTCGCTGCGATACCGTCTCAATGGGGAGAACACCCTGAAGCGTCGTCTGTCCAATTCCTCGGACGAGGGCAGCTCACATCCGGCCCACAAAAGGGGACGTCAGTCCACACGCCCCGACATGGAGGGCCAGCGTGAGCGGCATCCTGTCAAAAACCGTCTTGGCCAACGTTCACGCTCGCGACGTGGACATTCGTCCACGAGCGGCTCTTCGGACAACTCGAGCGAGCCGCGGCATATACTCGATCTGAACGATACGTCCGGACGCGATCCAAGCGATGTGGCCAGGGAAATGGCCAACAAACTCTACGAGGAGAAGGACGAACTCTTAGGTGGGCAACTAGAACTGATCCTAAAGATCGTATTATAATTTAAAGAGTTATGTTTTGCAGTGCGCGTTATTCAGGTGCTTGGCATAGATGTGCCTCTCGAGCTCTACAAAGAAACCCAGCGCATCGAAGCCGATGGCGGCATGATGATCAACGTGAGTCAATCTCCAAATAAATACTAATCTAAACTAATAAATTATGTTCATCTTATGTTTTAGAATGGCAGACGTCGACGTACGCCGGGTGGCGTATTTCTATTTCTGCTCAAGCATCATGATAAAATAACGCCAGCGCAGCAAAAGTCAATTTTTAGCGAGGATCGCCAAAATGCGAACAAATCTCGTAAGCAGATCGAAACGTTGATACGCGATCGCAAGGTTGAGGAGCTGAAGAAACGTCTCAGCGAAAAGAGCACCGAAATGCCTTCATTAAATACACGCAAGGAACTCTATATGCAAGGGGACGAGTCAATTGCACAGACTCTGCCTGGCAACTGTATGTACCAAATATGCAAATAGTGAAATATTAGAAATTCATTTTAAAAGTTCCATTTTTTGCAGTATCCAATCCGCCACCTTCGCCTGTTGGCCAGGAACAGAGCAGTCCAGAGTATAAGACACACGAGATAAACATAAACGTCGTGGACAATGCCGATCTGCCCTCGACTTCGAAAGCTGCCATGGCGGCGGGCCTTAAGGAGCTGATCAGCTATGATGATGATATTCTGGATGTTAGTTGCGGCAAAATGGATCTATTTTAAACGATAAAAGAACGCAAAGCGTTAACAAGCAGTTGGCCATTTGTGTATATATTGAGTAATATATATATATATATATATGTGTGTGGCGCATAAATTTTACATCTATATAGTTAGAATCATATTTGTACATCTAAATAAATGCATAGCTATTACGGTTTTTTTTTCTAAGCATTCAATGTCGGCAGTTTAAAATTGGCGCCATAACTGACCATTGGTCATCGATGTAAATTGTATCGATACTTTCGCGAAGTGCGTAATGCGGCTATCGAAAGACGTTTAATCGTTATCGGAGCAATAAACATAGACGAGCAGATGATTTCCAAATTTCTAAATTTAATTGTTGCAACGTAGCAAAAGGTAAATATCGCAACTATAAATAAATGTATAAATATAGAAAGGGCATATATGCTAATTTGAGCGTGTAAACAACAACAATGAAAACAACCTGTGAATGTGAGTCGAGTGTTAAGCAAAACAAAACGCAGCTCGTTGATATTGTGGCCAAAACCTACGCATACGAGTTGCTCAAGGATGTGCACCTGGAACTGCCACCGCCTGACACCGGGCCAGGTGAGAGCCTTTATACGCGCGGACACTTCAAGTATTTCCACTACAACTGCGATGGCCACTCGGATGCGGGCTGGGGCTGCGGCTATCGCACTTTGCAAACGGCCATTTCTTGGATCATAAACAGGCGCAACGAAGCGGAGCGGAACGTGCCCTCGATTCGGGAGATTCAACGCATGCTGGTCAGCATTGGGGACAAGCCGTCCGGTTTTATTGGCTCACGCGACTGGATTGGCACAATGGAGGAGTTTTATGTGATTGATGCCCTGTTCGAGATACCCTGTAAATTTGTGCACGCGCAGCGATTGAACAGCGCACAGCTGTTCACCCAAATACGTGCTTATTTTGAGGACTACGGCGGTTTTATAGCCATGGGCGGGTTAAGCGACATGGCCTCCAAGGCCATTGCGGGCATACATCTCAGCCCAACGGCGGGCGTTTCGCTGTTGATTGTGGTAAGTGCATCAAATTGACCTCAGCTTGACCTCAATGAAAGCTTATATTTGCTCTTTGACCCCATAGGATCCGCACTTTTCGGGCGTGCCCAGCTCCAAGCAGCAGCTAATTGACAAGGGCTACGTGCGCTGGATGCACATAACGGAGTTCGAAAAGAGCGCGTACAATCTCTGCTTTATACTGCAAAAATAAGCTAACAAAAAGATTGTGAAGGGCAACAGAAACAGTGTTGCCAATTTAACTAGAGTGGCCAGAGCAATAAAATATGAATGTGTACAACACTACTCGAACGTTGTTTGGCAGTGTTGCTCAGAGGTCAGCCTGAGACAGTTTAAACGTTAAAAATAGTTTGCCTATATTTTTATTCCATATCCCTTTGCTTTCAAAAATGGCATACTGAAAAAAATGATATATATTCGTTAAGGCTTGAATACTTGCGCAGCTGCAAATCTAGCGGAAATACTGCTAAAATGCCAACACTAATCAAATTATTTATGCAGAGAGTATTTACAGTTATGTTTTCTCTTCTCTTTTAGCGCGCGTTATGGCCAGGAATCGAGTCTATTGATAAGCACATATTTAACAGTTATTCCATGACGATGGCGCTGATAAGCCAGCGACACTGAACGTTTACCAATTAATTAACCAAACGACCGTAAAAAAGCCTAAAAACGAACAAACAGCAAACGTAAAGCGGATCGAACAAATTGGAGCAGCTGCTGCCTCTCCCGCGCCTGGATATGCTGCAGCGTGTACTGTGGAGCGCCTTGGGCGCCGTGGCGCTCTTCTATGCCCTGGTCCGATTCAGTCTGGGCTATTGGAAGCGGCGGGGCATACTGCACGCCAAGCCCAAGTTTCTGTGGGGCAACCTCAAAGATGTGCTCGGCGGCAAGCGGCATGTGCAGCAGGTGCTGCAGTGCATCTACGAGAGCTACAAGGGACGTGCACCCTTCATTGGCTGCTATGCGCTGATCAAACCCTTTGTCCTGGTGCTGGATCTGAAGCTGGTGCCTCATATACTGGACAGCGATGCGGGCTACTTCACCAGCCGCGGACTCTATCACAATGTGCCCGCCGAGCCGTTGTCCGGCAATCTGTTGCAGCTGGACGGGCACAGTTGGCGCTGGCTGCACGCCCAATGCCGCACAGTCTTCACGCCGGGCAATCTGCAAAAGCTGCTGCCACGGCTGTTGCAAGTCAGCGACAGGCTGCAGCGCGGCTTGGGCGAGGCACAGCTGCAGCAGCTGAACGTGAGCCAATTGGTGGACAGCTACAACGTGCAGGCAATTGCCACGCTCGCTTATGGCCTGAATCCCGGCGAGCTGCCGCCGGACTTTGGCCTGATGACGCGCAGCTATTGGAGCAACTGGAGTCTGTGGCGCGCCTATTTGGCGCTGGAGTTGCCGCTGCTGGCGCGTCTGCTGCGGCACAAAAGCTACGCGCAGCTGGCCACAGATTACTTCTATAAGCTCGTGTTGGAGCAACTGCAGCAGCAGCGCCGAAGGGATCGACAGCCGCTGCAGAGCTTTCTGCAATTGTACGCCGCCACCGACGAGATTTTGACGGATGCACAAATTGCCGCACAAGCATTTGGCTTCGTACTGGCTGGGCTGGCGCCGCTGAACGCCAGCCTGGCCTTCTGCCTCTATGAGCTGGCGCTGCGGCCGGAGCTGCAGCAGCGCGTTCGAGCAGAGATTAGGGCAACGCTGCAGCAGCACGAGGGAGCACTGACAGCGGAGGGCCTGCAGCAGCTGACCTACACGAAGCAGGTCCTGAATGGTGCGTATATTGAGGATCCCCACCTGGGTCAGCTCATCATCTCGATCTCGATTTACAGAAACGCTTCGCCTGCACACGCCGTATCCGTTTCTGCTGCGTCGCGCCACCCGGGAATTCGAGCTGCCCAAGTCCGTGTTTGTCATAGCCCGTGGCAACAATGTGCTTATACCCATTGCAGCCATACACCGTGATCCGGCCATTTATCCGGAACCCGAACGCTTCGATCCGGATCGCTTCGAGGCGGCGGCAGTGCGAGCTCGGCCCGCTTCATCATTTCTGCCCTTTGGCGAGGGATTGCGTGGCTGCATTGCCAAGCAGCTGGCGCAGCAGCAGCTCCTGGTTGGCCTGGTGGCTCTGCTGCAGCACCACAGCTATGCGCCCTGCGCGGAGACCGCGATACCCATGCAATATGACAATGGCAAATTGTTGCTAATGCCCAAAACGGATATTAAACTGAGCGTGGAGCGGCTGGATAGCTAAGAGGCATGCGGGGGGCAGAGTTTCGGCTTCGCTTTATAATTATAGTTTGTTGCTTTGGTAATGTTTTATGTGTGTACAAAACGCTTTATTTGTTTTTTATATATATTTTTGTATTTGCGCTAGACTTGTGTGATAATGCTGACGTATACCTTAAATTATTAGATGTAAGCTTGTGCGGCTGACCTGCAACAGTAACAAAAGAATGAACAAATAAATACCTTAATTGTTGTCAAGTAATATTACAGAGTGTAAAAGTGTAATTAAGCTATTTATAGTTTCAAATTTACGTTACAGCAGTTGGCCGCCACTCGACGCAGTCAAGTGAAGTTGGCTGCGAACGCAAAATTGAGCTGCTAACAATCGATGTATCGCATCAAATAAGCGTCCATTTTGCGCTGTACAACACTACAATTTCTATCGGCAGCCAGAAGCAAAAACAACGCCGAGCGAGTCAGACGTGCGGCAAACGGTGCGCGCAATTTAAAGTGTTATTTGTTAAATAATTAAAAGCTATTTGATAACATAATGCACGAATATGTCGCCACTCGTGCGCGTGAATAAAACAGCGTTTGTGTAAACGAATTGGATTGATTGGGCGTTTCGGTAAATGCATTTCCCACCAGCTCGGCTATTGTTTTTTTTTTCTATTTCTACGCGAAGTGTGCGTCCAATTGAATTAAATAACGAAAATGCAAAGCGTAACTGACAGGAGCAGCATTGAAATCGAAACGGCGGCAGGCTAAATTGAAAGTAAAGTTCGCAAAAAAAAAAAAACTGTTAAACGGCGGCGGCAACGGCACTTAACTGTTGTTTGCTCAGAAAATCAGAAAACAGTGCAAAAATAGAAAAAGAGGAAAGGAAGAATATAGTAAAAAAAAAAAACGCCGAAAAGTGTGTACATATTTAAATTGTTAGTGAATAATTTTATGCAACACACATGCACACGTCTGCCTGTGTGTGTGTGCTTGTCTGTGATTGTTTTTGTGTGCGTTTGTGTACAACAAGAATAACAACAAAAACTGTGCAAGGATCAACGACAACGACAACGCCGCCGTCGCAGTCGCCGTCAGGGTAGTTTGTTTGAACAAAGCCCAAAGCCCAACGAGGAGACGGGTGGAGAGAGACGCGTGCTCTCTTCTCTTTTGTGCGCTTTTGCCGCCTGGAATGTGCTGCAGCCCAACAAACAAAAACAACTGCAAGAGCAATTGCAGGAACAACAACGACAGCGGGCGACCGTAACGAGCACACACTCGCTGTTACACACACACACACACACACACTCAAACTGGGTGCCGGCTGAAAGGGGAGGAAACGCTGTTTAATTGTTTGCAGGATTCTTTTGATGCGCCCGCTGCTTCTGCTGCAGCTGGAAGTTGACTGCATTTGGGCAAATAGATTCAAGAACCGTGAGTATCCTTCAAATGTGCTGCTTCTTACACTTGCCTTTGTTCTTGCCGCGCTTCTTACCCTCCTTCATTCATCCTCCCTCTCACGCCCCATCTCACGTTCAAGTGTGCTAATTATGAAAATGTAATTAGTTTAAGTGTTGTACAATAACACAAAAGCTGACAGACAACAGCTTCCAGCTTCACACAAGCACAGATTCCAAGGTCTTCCAGTGCCAATTCCAGTCAGCGCAAGCCATGAAAACTCCTTTCATTGCCAGCCAACAACAACAACAGCAACAACAGCAACATTAACAGAAACAACAAGAACAGTAATTTTGTGCTCCCTTTTTGAAGTTGTCGCGCTATTTGCGCAAGTGCAGGCACTCGCCGCCACTAGATGTGCGCGCGTGCCGTGACACGAATTAATCGTGCGTGCACGCACAAGTATATGATGCTGATACAAATTTGCTTTTTATCAAATTTACAAAATTATTATAGGTGAATGTTAAATTTTTAATAGCCAAAAAATACCAAATGCAGTTTTGTGTTAAAAAAGCTGCCTTTTAGATATGTCTTTTGTTGCCTCGCACACTTTGGCTCTTGCTCATCTCTAATGCTGCCCTTCCTCTCCTTTCCCTCTCACCTATTGCTGTTTGTTGTGTTTGTTTTGCACCGTTTTTAGCTCAAACATTTTGCATTATGTGTGGGCTACTTATTAACTTTTTTTGTTGTTTCTTTCTTTTTCTTTTTTTTATCGCTGGGGAGCAATAATAATAATGCTGGGGGGAATAATCATCACGCGTTGGCGGGCCCCCACAGCATCCGGAGGGGTTCATTGACTTTGTTTAGCTATTATATTCGTATCCAAATCCAATCAGTTTTTCTATGCCTCCATTTTTTTTTTTGGGTATATTTTTTGTTTTGGTTGTTCACCTTTTTTGGGGGTTCAGGAATTATATGAAATATGGGGTTGGTTTATTTTGTTGTTGTTAAATCTTAATTCTCTAACTGGTTTTCACGATGTCTCCATTTTGCAGTGGAAATCGCTGCGTGTGTCGTAATCAGAGCAGGAACCGGAGCAGCACGTTGCCACCGGTCGACGCAAATGTCTAACTGTCTAACTGTAAATGTTGTTTAATTAGAATTTCAGTTTGTTATGATTACAGTTGTTGTTGCGGCGTTGCCTTATCGCGCGTTTATTTGAAATTTCGTGACGCCTTTGTGGGCGTCCCGTCTGTCAATGCAGTTGCCTTTTGCATACCTTTCAAACGACTTTGATACGAGCTGCGACTGATAAGAGAGCTCATACAGAGAACTCTCATTAACACACTCTCTCCGTCCGTCTGTGCTGCCATAGATTTTACTATGAAAAACTTTTTTGTTTAACAAGATATCTTAACCCAGCTCGGCATTTATTAGTTTTACTATGCTCCTCATATATATGCAAAATTCTATCAACATCGGACCAATTTGTCATATAGCTGTCATTGGAACGATCGGTCCAAAAGTAGATTGTACTATGAAAAACTTTTTTGTTTATCAAGATATCTTAACCAAACTCGGCATTTATTAGTTTTACTATGCTCTTCATATATATGCAAAATTCTATCAACATCGGACCATTATATCATATAGCTGCCATAGGAACCATCGGTCGAAAAGTAGATTGTACTATGAAAAACTTTTTTGTTTATCAAGATATCTTAACCAAACTCGGCATTTATTAGTTTTACTATGCTCCTCATATATACGCAAAATTCTATCAACATCGGACCTTTATATCATATAGCTGCCATAGGAACGATCGGTCGAAAAGTAGATTGCACTATGAAAAACTTTTTTGTTTATCAAGATATCTTAACCAAACTCGGCATTTATTAGTTTTACTATGCTTCTCATATATATGCAAAATCCTATCAACATCGGACTATTATGTCATTTAGCTGCCATTGGAACGATCGGTCCAAAAGTAGATTGTACTATGAAAAACTTTTTTGTTAATCAAGATATCTTAACCCAGCTCGGCATTTATTAGTTTTACTAGGCTCCTCATATATATGCAAAATTCTATCAACATCGGACCATTATATCATATAGCTGCCATAGGAACGATCGATCGAAAATTAAGTTGTTGTATGGAAAACTTTTTTATTTTTTAAGATATCTTGACCAAACTCGGCATTTATGGATTTCTACCTACATTTATGCAAAATCTTATCTACATCGGACCACTATATCATATATCTGCCATAGAAACGAACGGTCGAAAATGAGGAAGATATCTTAACCATACTCAACATTAACTAGTTTCCCTGCGCTTCTTATATACGGGCAAAGCATTATGAACGTTATGAAAAGTAATTAATCATCGCCCTTCCTTTTTAATTTTTTGGCTTATATATTTTTTTTCCGCTCACACGCGTTTTTACTGTACTCACTTTGTTGTGTTCGTTCTAAAGGAGATTTATTTAAACAAATGTTATAGACAAATGAGAAAAGCGGAATGTTTGCAATTGTAGAATAGTTTGCTTATTTGTTTATTTCAAGAAATTCTATCATAAACTTGCACTATTTCGTATCTCCTCTCCCAGTTTCATGTTCCGTTAGAATGTTATACCTTCTAGAGTTTTTTAATCATCTGATATGCTTGGAATTTCTTGTGCTAGGGTATATGCTTACATGTGTGTGTGTGTGTGTGCGTGTGTGTGTGTATCTGCACTTGGCACATTTTCTTTGTGCTTATCTGATGCCTCTTGGCTGCAACTAGCAAATGTGTAACCTAATCCCAAAAAAAAAAAACCATTCAACTGCTGCTGCACCTGTGCAGAGAGAGAAAGACAGAGGGAGCAGGGGAGAGGGGGGGGGGGGCTGTTGAGATACCAACAGCTGGCGGCAACGAAATAACTTGGTTTTCGGTTCCTTTTAGCTGGTTTTGGCTGGCTTTGGCTGGCTTTTCACGTAGCATGTTTATGGCCAGCGCCTGCGGCTGTATCAACAAGCAAACAAAACTGCATCAAAATATACGAGTACATAAAAAAAAGGAACATATTTGCGCTCTCTCTCTCTCTATCGCTGGATAAACTTGCGTTGTTCTTCTGTACAGCCAAACAATTGCAGCAACAGCAACAACAACAACAACAACTTTGTTAACTTGTGTGCAACTTTTTGGTGTTTACTTTGCTCAGTCGCCTGCCTTTTGCTTTGAGCCATGTAATTTTTAATTATGCTTTTGGGCAATAGAAGACAGAAGACGGCGTCGTCTACCTATAAAACAAGAAAGAGCACACTTTGATACGCATGGCCGGCGTTTAAATACCCTAACAGAAGAAGTCTGCTAAATAAATGACTTGAGTTTTTTAAAGAATTGTTTTTATTGAGATTGTCCTAATATGATATATTGATAGGAAATTGTTTGTATGTTAAGAGCAAATTTATGTTTATTTTGTCGATTTCGGCTAACTATATAATATATATATAGTGTTTCAATCCAACTCATAAAGATAGCTCAAAAGACGTAGAAACTGGTTTGCAGAAGGACAAAAAGATAGACAGACAGATGGACTTGTCTGCATGTCACTTGATCCAGAATATATATACTTTATAGGTTCGTATAATTCTTCTTCCATGCGTTACATATTGTGTGCCAAAATGCTAATGCCCTTTGCTAGGGTATATAATATCTACATATAATGGTCGATAGTCTGGCCGAGCCTGTTTGGTGTTTGCATACGCCAACGCATCGTTGTTTGTTGTTGTTGTTGTTGTTTTAGTTGTTGTTGGCAAACAGCTGGGGCAACTACTGGGAACGTTTCCAAGAGGCAGACACACACACACACACACACTCTTGAAAGTTATAAACTGGCCTCTTTGAGCCAAAAGTGACTGCATGAATGAATGCATTTGTTTTGCATCTTGAACCCGCCACTTTTTTTTTTCTTCTTGTTGTTGTTTGTGTTGTTGTCTGACACCCACTCGGCCAAACATTTTCGATTTCGATTTCATTTTGTTTGCCTGGGTGTTGATTTGAGTGCATGAATGAATATCCATGAATATACACACACACACACATTAAAGGAGAGGCGTAAGCCATATATCTTTCTTAAATATATATATATATAAATATATATATAGTGTGTCTGCCCACGCAGCGGCAGCTGCTGCTGTTTTTTGGGCTCTTTTGTTAGCTTTGCTAATCGCCTGGCCCCACACACACTTTTGGGCTAATCAACAGCTCAGAGCTCATTAAAAAAAAGTTTCCATCTTTGTTGTCGCACGCCCGATAAAATGTCAAAAGTTGAGAGCGCGTACTCTAATGGATTTTCAGCGAGTTCTAACCAGGTAAAAAATGTCGGTGTTCAATCGAAAATTAACTGCTCTAAGATAAACTTTGATTCTACATCTTGCAACTGAGCTAAAGTGCAGATAAACTTCTTATGATAAATGAAGAGTAAGCATTCAAATTGAAGGAGAATGAGGTTTATGGATAAAGCGATTTAAAATTATAAATACCTATTTAATTAAATTGTAATATTGACCTTATTTTCAAACCAGATTTTAAGGCAAGTCAATATTTTTTGCTGTGTAGTCTTTATTTTTGTGTGTTTCAAAAGTAATCAAAGCGCACAAAGTGCTGGCTTGAACGCTTGGATTAATTATATATTTAATGCCAGCGAATTAGTTAAGCTTGCCACAAGTCTTCCCCCCCTTGCCTGTGCTTCTCTTGGCCACAAGCCGCATGAGAGCCATTAAGCGATTTGCACTGCCAAGATTTTCAGCTAACGAGCGCAGACAAAACGCAAACAGAACAGTGAAAATTGACATGTGTTGTCTACAAAGTTGCCATGGATATATACACACATACATACATATATATATATATGTATTTCCATGTGTAGAGGAAAAGAAATCTTGGCGGCTTAGAAAAGCGCCGGAGCGAGCCGGCAAAACGGCGACTGAAAATAACAAACTTGAACCACAAAAAAACAAAAAAAACAAAACAAAAGAGAATACGAAATAAC